AAGAGCCCTAAGGTGCTATGTCTCGCGGGCTGGCTGTGGGGGACCAGACAATGCTCTTGGCAGGAGCCGCTGCAGGGGAGATGAGTGAGAGGGACACAGAAGACGGAGAATAACAGTTATGCACGCAGCAAATCTCCCAGTCACCCTAGCTTGTACTGCCGGGCATTCCAATGGGCATCATATGAGCCACGATGGAATCTCGACCATCGTAACGAGGTGGAAATCGAAAACACGTCAGAACCATCCCCGACTTCTACGCCTCCTCCAATTCCTCTCGCCCAACCCAGATGAGTATTGTTGGGGCGCGGCGAGCTTATGTATATATGACTACGTATTAAATGAAGGTTGCCTAACGCTTTCCAAGCGCTTCCCCACTCACGACGAACTACCGGCAAAACAAAAACCCCCACCAGTAACGTAGCGATCATCCACAACTCGCCCCAGAACTAACTACATCGGACAGGCTGTGGCCATGAACAGGCACCTAGCCGTGATCTGCCTTTTTGGCTACCTAGTGGGATATTTATGTGTGGGGACCTAACTGTAGAGAGTGCATTCATAGTCGCTGTATAGGCGTGAGGTACTCGTTATGCTGACTTACGCAGACAAGCTTCTGCGTAAGCGGGGAATTCTCCGACTTCACAGGCTGTAATTCGCTAGCAGATACTAGAGATCCCCTCCGATGCTGACCGAGCGGCATAATCTAGCCGTCTTCGGATAGTCTAGATTGAGACTACGACATGTACTCCACCCTGAAATCTATCAGAGAATTAAAAACAGGGAGGCTGGAAGCAACCATAGAACCGCTGAAATTCTGTCATAGTCAACTGGGCATCATTGAGGAGGCTGGGAACAAAGATGCGAAAAGGATGTGTCTATCATCCGGCAGGGTGGCAGAGGGAAAACAAGTTTGTCTCCATGGTTCTGCCATATATACTTCGTTTCTCAGCCACCATGTATAGCACTATCCCGCGTTATCGGTAAACCAATCGCCCAGATCACACCCCGTCATTCGAATGCTGCGTTTACTTCGGCTTACCGCTGTGCTTCTCTCCGCGCTCCGCGTGACCCTCGCACAGACATCCACTGACTGCAACCCTCTAAACAAAACCTGTCCGTCCGACACGGGCTCAACCCACAGCAGCCTCCATTATGACTTCGTGCAGAGCTCAGAGACTCTTGCACAGTGGTCGACGCTCTCGGGCAGCCCAGCGATCGGTACTGAGGGTGTTGAGCTCACGATCAACGAGGAGGGCCAGGCCCCCACGATCGCCACGCCGTTCTACATCTTCTTCGGCGAGATCAGTGTCGTCATGAAAGCCTCCGCCGGCACGGGGATCATCAGCAGTATAGTATTAGAGTCGGATGATCTCGACGAGGTCGACTGGGTACGAGCACAATCCCCGCCCCACTCTCAACTGCATCTACTCGCTCGTCGGACCCCCTCCCACTAACAATCTTCTCTCCCACGGGACAGGAAGTCCTGGGCTCCTACACCACGGAGCTACAAACCGACTACTTCGGGAAGGGCGACTCCTCCACCTCGGACCGCTGGACCTGGGAGCCCGTCGACGGCCCGCAATCCACTTTCCACAACTACACCCTCACCTGGACGCCCGCGGCTCTCACCTGGAGCATCGACGGCACCGCCCAGCGCACCCTGACGTACAGCGACGCCGCGGACGGCACCCGCTACCCGCAGACCCCCTCGCGGATCAAGATCGGGATCTGGGCGGGCGGGGACCCGAACAACAGCGCGGGGACGATTTCCTGGGCCGGTGGGGAGACGAATTACTCCCAGGCCCCGTTTACGATGGTCGTGCAGACGGTGGATATCGTGAACTATTATCCGGCGGAATCGTATACGTACAGCGATGAGAGTGGGGACTTTGAGAGTATTGTGATGGAGGGGGGCACCGTGACGAGTTTGTCGGCTTCGGCGGCGGACTCTGGGTCCGGGTCCACTGCAACGGCGGGGGTGGCGCCGGCTACTGCTTCGATTCATTGGGCTGGGGCGGCGGGTCCGGTCTCTGCGTTTCCTGTGAGGGTGCTGGGGGTGTCTGGTTGGGTGTGGTTGCTGGGCTTGATGTTTTTGTTGATGTTAGGATAGAGTGGGTTGTGACATCCTAGCATGTACTGCTTTGAGCTAGGGCGGCGCAGGATGTGCCGAACTTTGGACTAACGAGAACGACGTGCCCTTTAGAACCTATTTAGCCCTATCCGCAGGCCGCACTCCAACAGACATTCTTTTTTTTTTTTTCCTTTTTGAGAGCTATTAAAGAAAAACGTAAAACCGAAAAGATGCTGCCATTACTATTCTATGGTAAGAAAGTCCCGAAAAGATCTGCCAAATATTGAAACGTCAATCTCTACTACTCAATGTCATCCCTGACAAGCTCCACAAGCTCCATCTTCCTCAACTTCGCGGGCTTCCAGGGTGGCCGGTAGGGCTGAGATTCCACATCTGTAAGGAAGGTCTTGGTCCGGTCCCCAGCCGCCTGGAGCAGCTGCATGCGCTTCGCCGCATCGCCCGGAAAGGCGCATTTGCGCAGCTCGTAGACCAGCGATCCGTCTTTCATCGTGCTGGCATGCTCTCGGGCCGCCACCTCCTCCAGCTCCGCCATAAGCTTCTGCTCCCGGCGAGTCAGCGGGTCGGCCGTCGTCGGGTTGGCCAAGGCGAGATACTCCTTGATGAACGACTCCTCGAAGCCCTTGAGCGGAGCCGAGGTCGCCAGCCAGTCGGCGCGCATGTAGTCCCTCTCGTTGAACAACATGTCCTCCCGGCCGACGTCCTCCCACAGGGCCATCTCCGGGATCAGCGTGGTCTCGCCAGTCTCCTTATCAACCTTCTTCCAGTACCATCCTTCGTATTTGAGCCAGGGGTTGTCCGCCGGCGGAGGGGGGTTCTTCACGGGGACAAAGTCCTTCAGCGCCTGCGGTTCGTAGTACAGCGGGGAGCCGCGCGGGTGGACCTGGCGATGGGCTTCGCTCGTCGCGTAACGCACGATGGGGTGGATGAACTCATCCGTAGCGCCTTCGGCGTTGGCCTTGGCGTATTGGCCCGGAATGCGGGGGATATCGCCCGCCAGCGCCGTCTCCCGCCCCCAGCCGTCGGGACGATACCCCAGGCCCCAGCCACCGTATCCGGTGATGTGCGTGGCGTGCGGGTTATCCCAAGAGTACCAGTGCGCGGTCTCGGCGTGCGTGTAGTGGTGTTTGCTGCCCTGCTGGAAGCCGCGGCGCGAGAGGTCGACGATGGTGCAGTTGTAGTGGTGGTAGAAGCGGGCGAGGGCGTGGTCCTCGAAGGCCAGGCTGGTGCGGTGGCGGACCTGGTCGATCATCCAGACGAGGGCGAGGTTGGCCATGGCCTCGAGGTCGCCGTAGCTCTTGACGGTGTTGTCGCTGCCGCCGCCGACGTTGATGTGGTAGCCCGGGAACCAGCACTGCACCAACTTGGTCGTCACCCCGGACGGGCGGCTCCACAGCGTCGGGGTGAAGGGGGCGCGGTCCTCGTCCAGCGCCAACGCGTGGAAGGCGTGCTTGATCTGGTTGTGCAGCTTGGTGTCGTGGAACCCGTAGTTGGCCTCGTTGCGCTCGCTGAAGTCCCACCACACGTTCGTCGGGATGCCCAGCGCCCCCACCGTGTCGAACACCCCGACGACCTCAATCTCAACCGCCTTGTGGAACCGCTCCTTCCAGTCCGTATAGGGCTTCGTCTTCCCCCAGGACTTCATGTAGTGCATTCCCGACTCCTCTTCCTTCGCCTTCTTCTCTGCCGCCTGCCGCTTGAAGTTGAGTTTGTAGTCCGCGTACATCGACCACCAATCATTCATCATGTCCGGAAGGCAGATGCCCATGTTGCAGATGAGGCCGGCCAGCGCGCGCGCCGTGTACGCGCCGCGGGAGAAGCCGAAGATGTAGATCTCATCGCCGGGGGCGTAGTTGTTGACCTGATAGGTACGCACATTGTCAGCATGGCTTTCGCTTCTCGATCGGTTTTGGCGAGGCTACGACAGTCGCCCTATGAATGGATGGGGCGGAGATTCTTTGAGCAAGCGTACCAAGAAGTTATAAGCCTCGCACACATTCTCCTCCAGACCGCGTCCCAGGCCACCCTCCCAGCACTTCTGGACCTTCGCCACGAACCGGGTTGGGAAGCTCCCGCTCTCCACGGAGGCGCTGTTAGCCGTGCCAACTCCTGCGTCGTAGTAGATTAGCTGCTGGATGCACTCCCCATCTTCGTCGGTCCAGCCGGCGATTGATCGCGACAGCTTGGCCACGTTGGAGGCCACGTTCCGGAGGCCGTGGCTCGAGGTCTGCCAGGAGCCGTCGCAGCAGATCACCAGTCGCCGCATCGGACGCGAGGGTCCATCTTCAGAGCTTCCCTGTGCCATGGGATTCATTTGTGCTGTTGGGTGATCAAGGAAACGAAACCCAGTTGGAGAATACAATCCCGATTTCCAATTGCGTTGAGGAGATAGGAAAAAGGTGAATGGTAAACCCCAACAGGCGGGCGCACTTGTCCCCTTTTATCCTCAGACTCGTCATGAGGGATTGACTCTAGCCCCCGTTGAGCTCTCTTCTCAACCTTTCTCTCTTTGTGGAGAGCTGAAAGAATGGTCTGGTGACCTTTGTAAAGGCATACAGAGTAGCATTTCCCGACACTAGCACCTCTCGCGAATACTATAAGCGAGGTTAGCTTCAATGCCTTGCGTCTGCGTGTGATGTATCAAGGGAATGCTTTCAATCTCGCCGCCGACTTATTCCTCGGCTCGGCCGGAGATATCACTGGCCAGCATTGCAGCTCCGTCGTGGTGCTTTTCAGCTGGACTAGCCCCGTGGCGGGCCAGACTATGCGGCAGCTAGTACTGTACTTCGGTAATATTAGCCGACAGCGCCGGTCATGTTCCCCTTCTTGCTGTTTGACCGGGCAAAGATGGCGCTTCTACGAGAGGATCTCTGTTTCCGAAGGGTCGGCAATAACTTGACTATTTCTCGACCCCCTCCCTAGCAAAATACCCCTATATATCCCATCAGCTGTTCATGGCCCTCTCTTTGACCGTAGTATTTTCATACTGATATCACCAGAGCCGTGAATTGGCGAGGATGCTTGCACAGAACAGCCCTGGATGTAAGAAAAAGAGATCAATCCCTCTCTATGCCGGTCACCAGGCCATTAGAGCCGTTGAGCACTCCAGCTTGGGCGACCATATTCATCCATTCCGTGCAACCATCCTGTTCCGCCCGACCCCAAGCGCCAGCCGAATCTACACGATCGGATAATCTTTCAGCGCAGGCCTTGTCACCCAACATCGACAGTGTCCGGCTCGCCAGAGCCACAAAGATATCCCGATACGGCGCCGCCACATCCCAGCGTTCCGCCATGATCACCAACGCGATCGTGCAGTCGTTACAGGTGCTGTTCGCCTGCGCGGGGCCAGAGACCTCTCCTCGCGCGGCAGACGAGGTCGTCCACAGGCAGTGGAGATATGTCAATCCCGCCAGGAACAGCTCATGCAGCGCCGCCCAGGTACAGCTCGTCGGCTTCCCCAGGAACCGCCGGCGGTAGCTCTGGCAGATGCTTTCTGCGGCTCGAAGGCATTCCAGAAAGACATCCTCGCTTGCCTTTCCTCCCGCCCGGGGGTCGAGGATCTGGGCGCGACAGAGCTGGAGGATCGTGTAGTTGTACTCCAGATCATACCAGTCTGCGCTGGTGAATAAGGCCAGGTCATTTTCGGCGTGAGAGGGCGGCGACGGCGGCAGTTCCGAACGCCACTTCTCGATCTCGGCGCGGATGTTCCTAACGTCAGTCTGCCGGTCATGACTGCCGGAGCAGATTGGGTCGGCTTTGGAGTAAAGGCGGGTGTGGATGAGATTCAGAAGACGGCGCATGCGGAAGGTATAGATTGCTCTCGTCATGGTGGTGGGTGGTTCCTGCGGGCGGCTCCGGGGCGTGCCTAGTAGTCCTGTGCTCGTGATGCACGTATCGTCAATGTCAATGGGATACTTTACACGATAAATGGTCAGAAACGGGGCGCAGATGGAACGTTGCTGGGCTGGTTAAGGTGGGCGTCCTGTCCGAACCTACTTCAGCGTCAACCTCTTGATACGGTACACTCAACGGTCGGCCCAACATGACGGCAGCCTGGGTCTCTATCACATAGGCGCACCAGAACACCCGCTTGCGAAGTTCAGTCCGAACTAAATCTTCTGCGGGAACGGAGAAGTGCTTTGTATGTCGATGATACCCCAGATCGATGCACTGACGCAGCGCCAGACTGCCGAGCTTCCTGTCACTTTCATGAGCACATGCGATCTTCGTCCCCGTTTTTCTTGATGGTGATCCATACCAGTGCGAAGTGCCCGTCGGAGATCTCACGGAGTAGATGGCGCAGCACAAAATGGCCTGCACCGCTTCGAGGTTATCATGGATCAGGATATCATCGATATACATTAGTGCTGATGTATACAGGCGCTAGTGATCAGTCAGTGAGCGTTTCCGTTCCTTAATTGGGGTCGTCTGCTTACTTCCGCTGAGAATCCCAGTTGGGGCAGAAGCAACGCCCCAACAGCGTATACCTAACAGTGTGAGCACTTTCTATCCCCATTCAGTAGTCGTGATGCTATTAGACCTTACTATGTTCAAGAAGAATAATGAGATAGGATCCGGGTGAAGATTTTCCTGCCCTGCCGACTCGTGTAGCAACATGGACTCCCATGTCCTGAAGGTCGGCTCATGTAGAACGGGGTAGTGGACGTTCACATTCTGGAAATAGCCATTACTGAGCCTGACTGCAGACTCGTGATCGGGCAACAGGCATGGTGACGGTAGCACCGAGACGCGATTCTCCGGCCCATCAGCCACAGTACCCGTGGGAAGATCAGAGGAAACCACCTGGCGAAGAGACGGATTGATCAAGCGCGAGAAGGCGAAGATCGAAGACGAACCCAGATATTGAGGCTCTGCGCCCGCGGCATTGAGACTCAGTAGGCCCACTTTTGCTTCCAGTTTGTCGACAGCGTCGTCTCGGTTCGAATCATCTTTGGCTTTGCGGGAACTCATCAGCTCACTATGGTGGACATCAGAACTAATCATGTGTTGTATCCGTGGGGAGGTAATAGATGCTTTTTGTCTCTCAGGTGCATGACGTTTGAACAGGTCACTGCAGACGAGATCAGGACAGCGCTCCTTTAGCAAGCTCTCCAGAAACTCCACTCGTTTCTCGAGGATCTCGATGTAGTTCCGTGGCCGACATGTCCTCGTGACGGGGTCTTCTACGAGGCAGACTGATTTCCTGTGTCAGATCATTTAAGCTTAATCAACCCCACTTTTGCAACCGGAAGAAACACCGACCGGATTCAGCACGTAGGCAGTTGTTACACCCCGAGGGATTATTGTCGCACTTTCATCCTATCGGGTCAGAAGAAAGCTGCTTGACGCACTGGACGGGTTGTGTAGTTCTCTTACCTTCCATTTCTTTTCCTTGCATTTCACGCATGCGAGAAGGGCTCGGCAACCCGAGGGTCTCCGTGCAGCGGACCGGGTCAAAGGGGTCTTTTGGTCCTTCTGGGGCAACATGGCGTATATGTGGACCCTTCAGCTGTCAATATTGCTGAGCGTGCGTTGTCAACTGGGGTAAGAGGGGAGGTCAGGTCGGAGCGTCGGGGTAGAAAGGGTCAAACGATTCCAGTGGAGAAGCGTCGCGGGCGATGATTTTCCTGGAGTGGCGATGAGAAGATGAAAGATAAATGCCGCTGCGCTGACTGGAAAGTTGGCCTGGACTGTCACTGGCATACATATTAGATTATCGGATTGAGCAAATGGCAGTTGAGACCCACCATGCAATCAATTAAGTACCCCGCACGCTAGACAATCTACGGAATTGTAGACAGCGGACCGAAGGATTTAGTGTTAAATAGCAGATTTGTTTGTATCCCAAACCATGGAGGTTGTAGATCGTACGTCTAGTGCATCTCTACTGGGTCAACTAAACTGTACAGACCACGAGATTTTATGCGGCGTTTAGAATTGTGCATCCGTTCAAATCCGAGCGACAACCGCAGCTGACGCTTTGCAGCCTTCTCTTAACCGCTCAGCCCTTTCCACCGTGATTTGGAAAATCTCAGGCAGCTGCGACTGAGCCCACGAACTCCCAGCCATCAACTTCACCAAGCCTGCTGCAGCGGTGAAAATACGAGCCATGCCACTGTGGTATCGCAGAAGTCACTGTTAGCGTAACTTCATTACAAGGGGGATGCATGAACCTACTGTCCGTTGTGACCAGCACAAACCCACTGACCCGCAAGCCCTGGCAGCTCTCCGACAAACGGCACGCCGTCTGCGCTCTAGTCTCCAGTTAGCGCCTGCCCTACTAGCATCAGATCTAGAATTACTGCTTTCTTACCATTCCCATGATACCACTCCAAGCATGCGTGTAAGGCTCTTCTTGCTGCAATTCATCGGCGGTCCACCCCTCCACCTCACCGATCGCGAACGCCCGCACAGCCTTATTGATCGCGGCATGACCGGTCATACCATCATCAATGCACCGCTCCGGATTCCGGTCTAGCCATTCCATGAACTCCCCTTGGCCGGGGTTGCTGCCGCCAAACAGCACGGTGCCGTCGCCATTCAGACGGGGATTGATACTAATCAGGTCGTCCCGGCCAAGGAGAATACCATAGGAGTTCTTGAATCCTGCGAAATCTGTAGCAGTCTCCGGGATCGTGACTCGATTGCACATCTGGGGACGGGGAGCTATCAAGCCCCGCAGCGACGGCTCGAGGGCGGAACTATACGCATTGGTAGCATGGACGACCTGTGCGCACTCAATGTCACCACGCTCGGTTCTCACGACCCACTGGCCTGGGTTTTTCTGAGAAGGAACGACAGCGACAGCTTTGGTCTGGGTCTGCAGGTTGACGCCTCTCCGAATGTTCTCCCGCATCACATGGGCTGCCAGTTTCCACGGGTGTAGTGTGGACGCCGGCCACGCGTAACATGCTTGAGCATTTTTCATCTGGGAGATCTGGTATCTTGTCAGCCATGCCCTCAACACGGAGCAAAGAGCTTGTGCGAACCTCCGCTGCTTCTTGGGGGTCGTGGGTCACTTTGATATGATCGACCTTCCCTCCGGCGGCCTTGTACCGCTCGAAGGTTGTGCGGGCTTTGCGCGCGGCTTCGGGGGTAATGGGAACATCCAATGTGGGTCCAGTCCAGTGTTCGCACTCGACATTGTTTTCCTGAATGTAGCGTACTAGCTCGGACCATGTCTGCTGTTCATTCTGCAGGATCTACAGAATTCGCAATCAGCGCCCGGTACGGTACAGCACACAGAGAATGCCCATACCTTCAGGGCCTGCTCCGTGCCAAACTGTCGCTCGTACTCCAGAAACCCTCTCCACTGGTCTGGCTTACAGTGGCCAGCGTTGCGACCCGTAGCACCGGAGCAGAACAGACGAGCCTCAATGACCACGATTTTCTTAGCAGGCCAGGTTTCCGTGAGGTGTTTGGCAGCCACGGTTCCGGACATCTGGATCCAGCGCTTAGCTACCTGTTCGAGAATCTGCACGCCCTGAAGCTGCTACTCACACCCGATCCGATGATCACGATATCTGCAGACTGCGGCAACTCGGGCGTGGTTCGGTGGTTCAGCAGCGGATCTCCCTGCACCGATCCCAGCCAGTGGGAAATGGAGTACCCGGTCGGTTTGGGGAAGCCGAATCTTTGACAGTTGTCTTGTCTCATGTTGTCGGTTTTATTGGTTTCTGATCTCGAATTGGCACAAATGGGGATGATCTCGGGAAGTCCAGCTGGATTTATAGGTGGCTCGGAGCTAACGAGTTCCGTGCGGTTCGGCGTGGGGGTTTTGAGATGAGGTGATATCGGAATGCACACCGAACAAGCAAAATTGGGCGGAACTTCCCGTCAATCAACTGGCTGACGGGAATCTTATGTATCAACTAGAGTAACGTTAGTGTTGGATACATATCTGTATTTTAGTGTCTAACAATCATATTATCTAGGTAAAAAGGAGTGAGATTTTTTACGATAAGAATTGCCGAAGACCAATCCTACTATTGCTTTCAAAACGGCCGGTGGCCACAAAAGTCCTGCGCAGAGACTTCTTGCCCTTGACTGCAACTAAGCAGCACCGGCCCGATGGCGGCCTTCTTTCCCCCTCCCAACCAGCGGGACTTTCCACCAATCTTATCGCCTTATCGCCTCGGATAAGTCGAACTATACTGGTTGTGGGTGCGTGAATGTGGGCTTTTATCACCATCCCTGTCACCTTTCAACGGCCGGTTCCATATAAGTTCAGAATCGCCAGCATGAGATTTCCAGCATGCATTGAATCTTTCTTCCCTCGTTCAAAACCATCTCACAATGCCTTCGGCCGCTCCCAATGGCAGTACCGCCGGCAGTCACACGCTCATGTGGCCCCCCGGCACCTCGTGCCTTGCCGACATCTCGCCGTCCACGGGGGATGCCACCATCAACCTGCAACCGCGACCCTCCGATGACCCCAACGATCCCCTCAATTGGACGCCCTGGCGCAAGTACTGGAATATGGGACTCGTCTGCTTCTACGTGGCGATGGTGGCGGAATTCATCAACGCCAGTACGCCGACCTGGGGCCCCATGGAGGCCCAGCTCGGGTTCAGCGACGAGATCATGAATGACAGCTATGCAGCGGGCTGTGCAGGGCTGGCCGTTGGCTCCCTCGTCTTGATCCCGTTCGCGCTCAAGTTCGGCCGTCGACCGTTGTATCTCTTCAGCACGGTGGTCCAGTTCGGGATCTGCATCTGGTCGGCCAGGATCCAGACGGTGGGCGATCTCATGGCCGTCAACGTGATCCAGTGTTTCTTCGCGAGTCTGGCCGAGGCCATTGTGCAGATGACCATCGCGGATCTGTTCTTCGTGCACCAGCGGGGCCGGATGAACGCGCTGTATGTCTGGACGTGGCTGCTTGCCACTTACCTCGGCATCCTGGTGGCCGGGTTCGTGGCCGACGGTTTGGGGTGGCGATGGATCTGGTGGCTGAATGCCATTATTTGCGGGGTGACGATCTTCGTTGTCGCGTTTGGGTACGAAGAGACCAAGTTCTGTCCCCGGCCGGTTGGCTCCACCACGACCGATCTGCACCTGACTCCCTCAGACGAAGACCGGTCGGGCGCAATCAAACGTCAGGACCATAACATGGTAGAAGACAAGGTGAAGCATCTCAGCGATAAATCAGTCACTCAGAGGAGTCAGAGCGACACCGATAAAAGTGCTCGAGAGCTAGGCTCGGTAGAAGCCGCAGACGAAAGCGCGCGCGAGATCACCCCAAGGCCCGCTATCAACCCTAACATCCCGATGAAAACATACTGGCAGCGACTTGCTCTGATCACCCCCACGGCCTCGTCCGGTGCCACGAAGGACTCCTTCTTCCAACACATGTGTCAACCGCTCATCATCCTGGCGACAATCCCGGCGATCGCGTGGACCGCGCTAGTGTATGGGATCTTGGTGGCCCTGGGCGACGTCATGTCGACCACGATGTCCACCTACCTACCCCGGGCGCCTTACAACTTCTCCTCCTACGAAGTCGGGCTCATGAGTCTGCCGCGGATGATCGGCGTCACGATCGGGGCCATCATCGTCGGTCCGCTAAGTGACTGGTGGATTGTCTATCTGGCTCGCCGCCGGCACGGCATCTTCCAGCCCGAGACGCGGCTGTGGTGCATGATCCCCTTCCTCCCCTTCGTCGTGGTCGGCGCCGTCCTCTTCGCCATGGGGCTCAGTGACCACCGTCCCTGGCCGGTGATCGCCGTGGGGCTGGCCTTGTACAACATCGGCGTCACCCCGATCAACACCCTCACCATCACCTACCTGACTGATTCGTATAGAGACGTAAGTGGATTCCTAGAAACCCTTCAGAATCAACCTCCTTTTTTTTTCCCCTGACAGTCAATGCAGATCATCGGCGACGCCCTGGTGGGCGTAACCCTGACGCGCAACACGTTCAGCACGGTGTTCATCTTCGCGCTCTCGCCGTGGGTGGCGAAGGTGGGGCTCAAAGATACCTTCGTCACGATTCTAGTCCTCGCGGTTGCGATTCTGCTGGCCTTTGTAGTCTTTCTGCGTTATGGCAAGGCGCTTCGGGGCTTTTCAGCCTCGCGCTATCTCTACTATGCCGCTCGGCAGTACAAGGAGAGATCAGGGTAGAGAAGGACAAGAGTCATCAATCTGAAGTTTAAGGCAGAAGGACCTCAATTCCACATTGGATTGATCAATCAAAGACCCATGTTAAATTAAGACGGACGACGGAGATCGCCGTCGGATCTCCGCCGCCATGAGCTTCGCTTTGTGAATCCCCGTCTCCTCTTCAATGGCTTTCATCTTCTGTAGGACCCAGTCGCGCAAGGCGTCACTGCGACCGTGGGATGTTCCTGCAAGGTAGAGTGGCCACAGCAGGGGCACGATGGACGCAGCGCGTAGGCCCTCCCGTGGTTTGCCGGCCTTGTCGCAGGCGTGAAGGAGATATGGAACACTGGAGCATATATCCCTGGAAAGTTCCTGGATCAGCGATATCGAGGAATCCAGTAGGTAGGGGCATGGTGGTCCGGGTGAGGGTTGCAGTGCGGACGCTGACAGGGGAGACGGCTGCTGGGGAAGTGGTTGTGACAACAGTGCAACAAGTGCCTGGTGGAGGAGAATGCGCACACAGCGCTGCAGGTTCCATGTGTGGGCGACGTCGACGCTGAGGTACGTATCATACTGACCCAGCTGACACATCTCGGTGTCTTGCACATCGCTCTGACGGGGGCAAGTTGTATACGCGTAGTCTGCTGGGAGGGATTCGGACCAGCGTTCCAGGCCTGTATCAACTGCAAGGATTGCGGAGACACACCGAGATAGATTCAGCGCGTCCACGCTACTGTCCTTACAGGAGGCTAGAACGGCGCAAGCATCGGCAACGAGATCTGCTAGTTGTGAGGCGGGGGCTTCGTGCTCTGTTTCGTAATGTCTGGCCTCCTTCATCTTCTTGCGCAGTATGGTTGGTACCCGTAGCCCGCGCTGAAGGCAATTGAGGAGCTGTTTGGGGAAGTCAGACAGAACGGACATGCAATGAAGATATTCTCGGGGGGCATGACTCACGATCTCCGTACGCGCGTGGAGAAAAATGCCTCGACCGATCCTGTTGCGTAGCTGGCCGATGCCTCGGAGATGGATCAATGCCACGGCACCGTCTACATGCCTGTCCCATGAGCCCACATTGCCATCACCATCCGGAGTGACAGTCTAGTCTAGTCAATAGCTTACCCCAGTGAGTCTGCAGCCACGGGAAAATTTACCTCGAACAATGCCAAAAGCATTACGGCGACCAGCATCTGGTCGGATGCCGCGCAGCTGGGGTCCGCCAGCGCCGTACGCATATCACGAAGAGCCCGAGAAACCGCCTGGCTGGCGGCATGACCCAGCATGGGCGCATTCCGCACATGCGCCAGGCTCGCTAGTCCCACGGCGACGATGAGACTAGCCAGGTATCCCGGCCCAGTTGCTCGCTTGTAGATGATGCCCAGGCAGTCCGGGTGGCTTGGGAGTCGCCCGGGCGCGTGCGCAACGTAATGGTGGAAGAAGAATTGCAGCGCCTGATCTTCCGGTGAAACCGCGACAGCGGGCCAAGGGCCTTGGTCGACCTGCAGAATTTCATAGGATAGTGCAGAGACCCGCTCCTTGCCATGGAGCGCAGAACGGAGCGTGCTGTTCCCGGGTGCCGGGGGGGAAGCCTTGCTCACCGTCTCGCCAGTCTGATCTCGGAATGTCACATAGCTCTCGGCATCTCGGTATCCGTCGCATCTAGAGCCGGCCCTAAGACATTGACGACATGCTGGTCGTGATAAGTCGCACTTGAAGCCCCAGATATCCAGTTTAATCAGCAGCGGTCGTTGATAAATCAGCTAACGAGTCAAGGCGTCAGACTAGAGGGTAAAATACCTTTCTTCTTTTTACTCGACATTCCCAGCACGCTTTACTGGGCTTGCCACGGTAGACCATGTTACGTAGCGCACAGTACCATTTTGCTAGGCAGGATAAAGGGAATTGGGTAGTTGGAAGACCTCAAGCTGGTCAAGTTTTGGTTCTGCAGAGTACGTACTCAGCAAGGTCCACGGTAATCTACTGCGCCACTGCTTTGTAATCTTCGCCGCTGCTGAATCCGGACTAGTCTGCAGTGCCGTCGAGCTGGTTACCGAATCGAGGCTAGCCTAGCTGTGGCTCGGGAAAACGGGCGAACCTGGAAGGCATACCTAGTGACCTCGGACCTCTGGACTCACCTCCGAGCCCCTCGGAGTGTCTTTAGAGCTCATGAAACACGATCCACATCTTCGAGCTGCCTACCACTTCCGGTAGGATGGCAATGGATCATGGTAAGGGTGCAGCGGCAGCTCAGAATATGGTCTCCCTGGGAACATGTAACATATAAAAAGTGCACTGATTGTCTTCACATTTTGTTCCTTTCGACAGAACCAAGATCGCGTTCCCACCACCTTTTTTCTTCATCTCTTTTCTCTCCCATCAAACATAAGACATGTCGCAAGTCATCGTATTCGTGAGCGGAGCCACCGGTCAACAAGGCGGTGCCACAGCGCGTGAGCTCGTTACTGCCGGAGTCCAAGTACACGCGCTTGCCCGGGACCCGTCCTCAGAGTCAGCCGTGGAGCTCCAGCACCTCGGGGTGCGGCTCTTCCCCGGCGACTATGACAATCTCTCCGCCCTGAAAGCAGCGATGGAGGGCGCGACAGCCGTCTTCCTGAATGTGTCGCCCATGCTGTCGGACCTCCGAGGCGAGGTGGTGCATGCCAAGAACATCCTCAACGCGGCGATCGCATCCGGCACCGTGACCAGCATCGTCTACTCGAGCGTGGCGATGACCGGACAGCACGAGTCGTTCCCCAACTGGGGCCCCGAGTACCCGCCGCGGTGGTACTGGGAGAACAAAGCCGACATCGAGGCCATGGTGCGCGCCTCGGGACTGCAACACTGGACGATCCTGCGGCCCGCCTTCCTGATGCACAACTAACACGCGCCGACGGCGGCGTACATGTTCCCGGAGCTGGTCCAGCAAAAAGCCTTTCGGACGGCCTACAGGCCCGAGACGGCGATGACGGTGCTGGCAGCCGAGGACGTGGGCAGGTTCGCGGCGGCGGCCCTCACCGACCCGCGCGCCTACCACACCCACGAGATCGACCTGGGGTCGAGTCGCTCACGCCGGCGCAGATCGTGCAGGAGCTGTGCCGGGTCAGCGGGGAGGAGATTCAGCTGGAATTCTACAGCGAGGAGGAAGCGAAAGCCCTGGCCGAGAGGGATCCCAGACTCTACGCCCAACTGTGGACAAATGAGGTGGGCTACCAGGTCGATTTCACGGCCCTCGAGAAGTACCCGATTCGCTTGACGAGGTTCGCGGACTATCTTGACAAGCATCGCGACGAGGTTCGCGCGATGTTCAAGTGAGCATGTTGTTCTTTTCTATGCCTGTTACCTGTAAAGGGCAGATGGCGGATCGGTGATTGATTTCTTCGGACAGCGCAGCCTTTGCAATTTGACGTGACCGAGCGCATCGAGCCCTACCTGTGATTCGGAGCATCTGTTTTGTTGGAAAGCTAATAATTGGGGGAGGCCTTTGATGATTGCTTTTTCGGGGGAAAGGTGTATTTCAACTAGAAGCAATGCTCCAGTTATGTCATTTAGCACAGCTGGCCAACCACGGTGCCAAATCTACTTGGGTGAGCAGTGTGATTACCGAAGAAACAAACATGTTTCTGTCTAACCTCAGCATGGAGAAAGTGGAAAGCAAACAAGACATTTCTATTCTAGTCGATGATCTCGAAGTGTATAAACAGTTCGTAACGCAGGTATAGTTCATAAAGTGCATCATGGCCTGCCCCGCGGGCCTTCAACTTCATCGAGACGCGAGCCCAGGGTTTTTGGCTTCGCGATATTCTACTATGCCGCTCGACAGTATAAGGAGAGATGAGGTTAGATAAAAGAAGAAACAAAAAAAAAAAAAAAAAAAAAACGCTGCTGTAGATGTTCGAATGCGTTCCCGGACGTCACACTGTATTACTCATTGTCACGGCCGCCCGAGCCATACCATCTCACGACGTAGTGTACGGGAGCATCACGCTCGCCGCAGTGCGCTCGTTTTTTGATGCAATGTACCGGACGGGCAAGTCGGCAGCCTTTCGACAACACAGCAAGCAAAAAAGGGACAAAAAACATACAACAGAAGGGATTCGCTGGTGGTCACCCACCCAACTACTAACCTCCCGGCGTGTGGCTTAAGTACGGCTGAGCGGACGGGAAGCCCTGTTTTCCACACCCTGTGGTCGTATGTGATTGATTATCCTGGTTTGAAACCTATAAGACAAGCTCAGTTTTATTGTTGCACGAAGAGATAGCGATATGCCTTGGTAGAGAGCTTCACTTTACTTTCGCATTAAGGGAGTCAATTTAAGGTTCGGTGATATGCGGATTGTCCCCGATCATCGCTTCTTGGCGGGCTCCGAACTGTGAGTCTAGAACTCACCCTACGGTTTTCCTGGGACGGGGGTGAATTATGAAAATCAAGGTGAGTGGCTTATGTGTAGCAGGTTGCACCAAGCCAGGTACGCCAGAGAAGTCAGCGTAAGGATTTTGTATCATCTATCAGTGCTGAATTTGATCCCTACCCCAAACTTGATGGAAGGTTTGTCCAAGAATAAATAAGCTGGAGCTGGAGCTCCCATGCGCGGCACCTATTGGACATTCTCTTGCCATTCCATCCCAGCCACAAGACAAAATCCCGGGCAAGACAATATGTAATGGGACATTTGCTGTGAGTAGGTCTCACTTCTTTGAGTTTAACTGATGACGCCTTCAATCACAGAGCGTTCCAATCATTAGGCGATAATACAGCGCAAGGAAGGTATCATCTACAGGCTAAGACAGACAAAGTACGAGCGAGACCAACCGCAGGTCCCTGATCCTCATCGACGTGGAGAGAAAGTAAGAAGCATAACGAGACATTTTCTATTCTAGCGTCTATCGTTTTGGAAGTCTATAAACAGATCGTAACCCAAGTACAGTTCATAAAGTGCATCAAGGCCTGCCCCGCGGGCCGTCGTCTCACGCACAGGTCAAGCAAGACCTGCCGCGAGTATCCCAAATGTGGCTCCCGCCGGACGGCATCTCTAGGACGCTCGGTCCAGGCGGGGAAAGCCCCTAAATACCCCCATCAAAGTGGTTGTGCGGGCTTAGCCCAAAGTGAGAGTGATGCCCGACGAAGTCGTGCAGCTGTTGGTATCGGTATCATCGGGCTGCTGGTACGAGGCGGAGCAATCCGAGTCGCCGGCGGAGCAGGTGACGGAGGTGCAGCTCGAGTCCGAGGGACTAGCAGAGAAGCCCGCGGTCACGAAGGCGGAGTCCTTGTCCAGGTTGATGGACGACAGGTCCCAGTAGAGGGTGTCACCGTCAGTGGTGTACTCGAACTGCAGGACGCTGCTTTCATCCGTGGTGGTGGACAGCTTGATGGAGATGCCGCCGTCGGAGGTGGTCTGCCAGTCCTCGGAGTAGCTGCCGCCACCGGAAGACAGGGACTGCATGCTGCTGGAGCCGGTGGTGGTGGCGGTGGACCAGAGGTAGACAGTGCTGTTCATGTTGTTGACGATGGAGACACTGCCCCCGCCGCTGGAGGAAGAAGAGGAGCTGGCGCTAGCGCTGCTGCTGCTCGAGGTGGCGGTTGCGGAGCTGGTGGTGCTCGACTGCAACGGCTGGGGAAGCGCGGAGGCCGCGAGAGCGAAGGTAGCAGCAAGAGAAAGCTTGGTGAACATCATTGTGAAAGATTGATGTGTTTCTTTGTGGTTGGATAGAGACCGATTGCGGAAGAATGTGATGCGATGAAGAGAGAAGGTAGTTCTGATCAACAGACCAACGGACAAGTGACACGAAAGGAATGCACGAGGATCAACCTCAGTAGCGAAAGTAGAGTAGACTGGTAAAGAACCTTCAAAGGAGAGGATGGTTGTGAGAGAGCAGATAGCAGTGCCACGAAGGGTAGCTTTATACCTATCTCATGGTGGAGACCGGAAACGAAGGCGGCTGCGTCAGCCGCGATGTGTCAGCTGTCTCCAAAGGCGACATGTAAAACAAAAGCGTGGAACGTGTCAAACTTTGAAGACAGGCACAAAATTCTAAAATTCTAGATCCTGGCACCCACGGTTGCCTGGTTCAGCGGCGAATCATGGCGGGGGTTTTGTGCAAGGTACACCAGGAACCATACGTTTGTTCCTGATGCCCTGGAGTCAAAAAGCAGAAAAACCCCGCAGGCGGGGCTTGGAACGGGGACCGGTGGACCACAGACTGGCGTATGCTGCCGTCTGGTTAGTGGTTCTAGACTCTCCATCGGTTCATCCAGACATTACGACAGCATTTGCCACCAACCCCAATGACGTTTTCTGGAACAGGGCCACCGCATCAGCAAGGATTTTCCCGGGACTCGGGGCACTTGTACTCTCCGGAGTAGACTCGGTTTTCTGCCGGGGTAGGTCTGGCGAGCGTGTGAGTCACGTGATATCCCCATCTATTCGATATCTTACCGCCTTTTTGTTTAGCCGAGGCTCTGCCGCACCGTGGGAGGAGAACAAACCAAGCAAACCAAGCCAAGCGCCACCTGCGCCCCAATGCACCGCCTTCCTAACCACTCTTGCTCTTTCGTAGACATTGCCCGGCATGGTCAGGCCACGACGCCGCCGCCACCACCACCACCCGCTGGGCAGCTGGCACAATTTCGCGGGCAGAATGGGTGGGTTGACAACTGGGACAACTGGGACCAACCACGGTGTTACTCACGGAGTGCCAGGTGCAACCACTTTCCAAGAACTGCAATGGCAGTTAAGTTACAACTCACCTAGTACTCGTGAACCCCTCACCTAAAGTACTTGCAAGTATGTATATCTGCCATTCTTTATTTCATATACAAGCAAATGCCAGGTACCGTTCATATAAGGAATCTCTATTGACCCGGCGGCACGCCCCGTCTTGCCGCGGCATAATGCTCAGAATACGGATATCAAGAAGGTGCTAAGTACTCTTATCGGTTCTATCCCCGCCAAAAGTATCTAAATGCTTAAATCTTGTGCCGAGATATGCTCAAGTTCATGTGCCTTCCAAAGGTCTGCAAGTCGTTACATTGAAGACGTTTCTCGCAAAGACTCAAGGCAACAGAGAGTCTCATGTAACAGTCTGGTATCCCGAGTTCTTGATCCAAGATGGTAGCGAAAGACGACGGGAATTAGATAAAGGCCCGTGCCATGCGGTCATACATGAGTAATTTTCGAGCAGTAGCAATCGACCCATCTATCGGCCGAGACACTCATACTCAAGCGACCCAACTGCGTGGGACCAGAACCCCATGTGTATTCATGCGGGTCTTTAGTTGCAGCCCAAGATATGTTCTTTGGTCCGGTGAAGGGGTTTGTCAAAGGCCTGTAATCGCGGTGACTCCCAGGAAGGTATATGAAGAGAACGATCGGGATACATCCGGGGGCAGTCTCCCTGCTTCCAGCAGGCCACCTTCCCTTGGCGACCCCCTCCGCGGCACGGGCGTGGATACCCTCCCCGCCGATCACCCCGTCCTCCGCAGACATCAACCCCACCGGGTACGACACGGTCGCATTCGAGTCTTATCGCACCTTCTGCCAGCTCTGAGACCAAGACATCATCCCGCAAAGGGTCCGCTTCCAGGTCTCGCTGCCCCTGCCCTTGAACTGCGTGATTGGCCATAACTCGACCTGAGTTCCATACGCAGCTAGACCCTCCACGAGCAGTGCGCATGGTCGAGGCCATACAGCCCATTGTACGAGGACAGGAAATCCCCGCCGCCGATCTCGCGCTGCGGTGGGATTCCTGCTTCGAGACCACCGCCATGGAGTACGAGCGGGGCCGGCTTCCGGATTCCTCCCTCCGCGCCCACATCTTCCCCGTCATGGACAGTATCTTGGAGCGGACGCAGCGGCTCTGCGCCTTAGTCCCTGCGGAAGTTCCCCTGGGAATTCATTTCCACTACGCGGACTGTCAGCACGTGCACTTTGTCGAGTTGGAGGCGGGCAAGGATACAAGGCTCTATCTCGGGGTGGTGCATTGTCAACCACGCGGAAGCGAGGCGCAGAAGAATCAATTCGGCCCAGTCAGGCGTGATGGACTTGTGGGGTGGGGAGTGAGTGTGGCTTGGGGAGAATCCCCAGAGATGAGCCGGAGAGTATTCAGCATATTTCAAAGGATTTTTTCGTGCTATTGTGGGGGTGAGATGTATCATATCTAGTGATGCGATCCGGAGGCTCTGATTCCGCCATGCTAAAGGTTGCTCTTTTCAAGCTCTGCGATGATTGAGTGGGATGCGTGGAGCTCGGTTAGAGCATGCTAAGGCTTGCCTTGTTTGTGTTATTGGAAGATCAGAAGAGAAAGGAAAGGAGATAGCTTGGAATCAATATGACCACTGCATTTCAGAAAGAGTATGCCTTATTGTGCTTCCAGTCTCCGCCTCGGACCGTAAGCCAAAAGCCAAGAGGAGACAGGCTGCCTTGGCGTGTCGCCGGGCAACTGTCGCGCCGACCCGTAAACAAATCGGCGGGGACTCTACCCACTCACACTACTTAGTGCTCTACGATGCTCGCTAGTAGTTGGAGGTCGGAAACCAGGATTTTCTTCGGGGGGAGCTGTTGATCATTCTCCGGATGATGATAGGCCAATTCCGGCTACGACGCTTGCTCGGGCATCTGGTTATCCCAGTATGTTTTTCATCTTCATCCCGCCCTTCAAGCTCCGCACTGAAAGGGCATGGCTTACTCTCTTTCTCCCTGTGGCAGGTCATGATTATCTCCTTTATGGGAAAGTCTGCACGGGCGATCGAGGCATACTTCGACGGCGAACGCCTCATCCTGGGCTGCACCGATCTCTATAGTACCCGCCACCAGACCGCGACGGCGTTGAGGGATCTTGGAGGGTTGTAGCTCGGGACTCCCATTGGGAATACCGCCTAGGCTGGCGGTACTTCCGGTTGGTTTGCGGCGTTAATGGTCAGTTGGGTAGTATGGTCTCCGGAGTTCTGGCTTTCATGCAGGTTTGGATTCAATTATGGGCACAGGAGAGTTTACTTACGTGCGATACCCCTTCTTCTTCAGAATACTGTTCCTGTCGCGCTTCTCACCCGACGCTTGTCGTGGCGCCCAGGCTTGAAATCATAGGCGTCAGACAGACAGTTCCTGCAGATCGACCCTTATGGTCGCGAATCAGTACCAGTAGTTCCTTCCTTCCACCTGAAATTTCGATAATCCATCTCAGACATAATATCGCATGAGTTTTCGCGGCGAGAAAGGACGTGGGGAATCATGGGTAACTGCTGTCGAGCCGAACCCTACTCTGTTCAACTCAATCATTAGCACCTGGTGACCATCACTTGCCAAAGCAGCCCCTACGACCCGTAGCAGTTCTGGGGAGTTTTGATCCTGATGCGTGGAAGAGGAATGTTTACCTTGCAACCTCCGACAACCCCTTTCGCCGCTTGGCGACCGAGACAGGTCGAATCTCAAACCGCTGGACCTCCGCAGCGACCAACGAGCCGGTAAGCTTCCTGGCCGCCTCCTCCACCCGGCCATAGAGGATCTCCCCACAGAGCCACTCGCCTTCCCCCCCCCCCACTCCACTCAAATCCCGCGCCTTCCGCCCTATACGCGAGGAACCTCCCCACCGGCAGAATCTCCCATCCATCCTCCGCAGATTTCAGATCCGGCGGATTGAGAACGATGTAGACCCGCTCCAGCCGCGGGAAGCACCACCAGACCCTCTCCAGCGCGCGGGGCTCCAAGTGAAGCGACATGCTGGATATGGCGATGCGGGGGTGGCCCTCCCCGTTGTCACGGATAATCATCCGCTTTCTGGGCAGTCCCACTCGTCGGTCGAGCGGGTCGGTGCAAAAGCGGGCGAGTTGTGTCGCGTGGAGGTATAGAGTGTCATGGTCCAGGTCGAAGTGGTGAGTGACGACGTGCGACCCGGTCCCGATGTCTGGGCGGAAGTGGATCTTGAGGCCGAGTTTGCGCGCCCACGAGCGTGCCGTGCCATTTGCCTCCTTGTTGACCAGCAGATGGGGTAGTGGTGTGCTTACTGGGTCCATGCGCGCGGAAAGGTAATCGTCATGGCTAAACTCACCTTCGTTGTACGGAAATAGCACTCCTGGCCGGACTTGGTCGGGGAGGGTGAGGTGCCAGATGTAGTGGCGGAGCTCGGGGGGGAGTTGGGAGAATTGCGCGAATGCCATGATTTCTGCTGGTGGGGGGGAGATATTCTGGAAGATCTTGGCCGATACGCGATTCTCATACATTAGGTGCTTTGCTGGTGAGACAGGTTTCTAATTCAGCCGGAAATTTGAGGGGTCGCTCGGCGGTACTTATATTAATTACTCGAGGATTGTAAGCAGGTTTATCTGATTCAGGGATAGTCTGTCCAGGTGACTCTTTGAGCAGGGTACTTTCTCTCTAAGCCCGACTTCAGTCGACTTTTGGAACAGCTAGGCTGCGATGGTTTGTACATAGATTGCAAAGTAAGAGGCCTTGGACTTTCCAGCTAAGGAGCCCTGCCGCCACTCCTCGGCCACCGCAAGCTAGGCTTTGTCGCTCTGGTTCACAATTCAAAGCTTGGCTAGTAGACCTGAGCCCCTCTTCCCAGTCTATTCCAATCAATGCAAGCTTTATTGAGCCACTCAGATCTAGCCATACCAAAATCTGATTGAGCATGTGAACCTTGACGAGCACATCGCCTGCAGGTTCAGGTCTTGGCACTACGGTGGTGTTTGATTCTCGGTGTTGACAGAATCATTAGCAGCTACTGAAATCCTCTATCCGACATATCATAGCTACCATAGTGCTAGGGTAATATTAGAATTTAGAGTAAGGTGAGATTTGAATCTAGTATAGATACATTATTTACATTTTATATTTTTGTGGAGCACTTGAGGCGTCTGCCTTGCCGGGAGGTTCATACAGGATATACAGTCATCCCGCAGGCGATCAACAACACCAGAAAAGCGCCTATATTCATTTGCGCATTCTTCGGGGCTCAAGCAAGTCAATGAACTCATCCTATATATAGAATTTCCCCGATTATTGCTGGAAGTGATATTACTCCGCAAGCAGAAAGCCAAATGCTGATAGATGACGCATGAGAAGGCTCTTTATTTATGCATGCTGACTAAGCTATGCTCCAAGCACATGGCCACCCACAAGCCCGATCGAGGACGAGCCATATCTTGGAATTTAGTTTAGAAAGGACTTTTAGGGGTCTGTGATTTTGTTACGTCTCACGAAGGTAACCATGCTGGTGTATACAGGCAGCGGACTCAATTGCGACGATAGCTGGCGACGACGTGGCTGAAGTACAGGAGAAACCTCAGCTGGACCAGCAACATGAAGGTATAAAGTGGAACCTGCCTGAAATGATCCAGCGCGTTCTGGTGACAGTCCCGACACCAAACTAGACACAGTAGAGCAGTCCCTCCGCTAGAATGGCAGTGTCACCAATCCCTCCCGACTTATCGGTCAACTTCCGACGCCCATGGCTAGATTCTTGAGAAATTCCGCCGCCTAACCACCGCCTTGGCCCGCGCACCGAAAACTGCTGCCTAAGTCGTGACTTCGTAGCGAGGGCGCGAAGCCAAGCAACAAGGTGATAAAATTGAATCGCACAATCAAAGTCTCATAATTATTACTGCTCAATATTATACAGACGATATCACATATCCACGACCCTCAATCATCATTATTCAAATGGTATACGCCGAAGTTGCGCCCGTGCCCCCAAAAAGCTGTACGAATGTCCCGACCGACACATGAAGAACGAATCAAGAGAACGAGGATCTATTTGTTGGCCAAGATGTAGCTGCGAGGTGTGTTAGCTGGAGAATTCTTCTTTAGCGAAACAGTAGAAGTGTGGACATACTAGGCGTGGATGACACCAGGAATCCAACCCAGGATGCAGAGACAGATGTTGATGAGCAGATCGCAGCTGCAGCCGGTGCGCATGAAGACACCGACGAAGGGGAGGAAAAAGGCGATGATGATTTCGCAGCAACCGCTGTGTGAAGGGTGTTAGCTTGGCAGTTTCCCTCTCAGTGGGAATGCGACGGGGAGGGCGGCATGGGGACATACACTGCGTTGGCCATTGTGAGTGTTTGGAAATTTGGTTGATAAAGTGGCTGTCTTGTTTGTTGGTTTGGATAAGGTATGGTATCAAAGAACAGGTCAGTTTGTTAAAGATGTAGAAGTTGGAGCTTTAGGAAGAGGAAGAGTGGAGGAGAAAGTGGTGTGGTTCAGGAGTTTAAAAGGACTTTGGGGGAGAGAGAGAATCGATGACATCAGGCGCGGGTGCATCATAGGGCTGAAAATGGAGCGAGTGTCCGCAACTCTCCAACAAGTCAACGCTCACCACCGACAAATTGCTGCCATGGCCCAGGGGGAATTCCTGATAGCCTACCTAGAAGGTAAATGTTTATGACACAACCAATGACGATCTTGCTTGGGAGTCTCTGGGAGAATCTGCCTTTTTTTTGCATAGGGCTGCACTCCAATTCGCAGTCAAGAGTGCCAAGGCAACGGCCCGGGCTGGATTTGAGTGGCTGAACTGATGTAATCTTCCCACCACCTGCGATGCGGTGCCTGGCCCGAGGCCATTTCCACCATTATTACATTTGGCTCAGGCAATCAACGGAGTCTATCCAGGAATTAAGTACACGGAGGACAGATGATGTTGACTACACCTGTTTGTGATCAGCTGATTTAGGAAATTAGGCACTCTGTTTGACCTTCAGTTCTTGCGTGTTGTTTGTTCAACTCGTGGAAGCCATCAGTTTATTGTTCGCAAAGAACACTGCACCCCAACTTTATGCCATTTTTGGATCTGATTTCATGGTCTTCAGGCGCCGATGTTGCTGCCTCGGAGTTTGGCTGCTAACACAGAGCTGGCTGCGCTGCACCTTTGTAAAGGTGAATAGGCAGCGGCCAGCGGTAAATTGCTCAGAATGTCTGGACAGACTAGTAACACAATCAATATGACAGGTGAAGAAGTAAATGTGTGATGATGGACGTGTGAGTGTGACCCGCCTACTTCTGAAAGAAACCTTTCCTCTACTTCGCACCGGATGGAACTTGTCGTTTCCTCTTTCCCACCACCATGACAGAGCGTGTTCATCAGCCGGTTCAACTTGTGTCTTCGAGAAGAAAGGATTAAACACACGGCCCAAGATGCAAGGCACACACATACTCAACCTCGCGTGGGTATTCATCCTCAGCCTGGTGTTGATGTGCCCCTACTTCAAAGCGAGCGCGATCGACCTCAACATTGACGACCCTGGTGGGTACTCGGAAAGCTTCATCAAGACGACCCATTTGTTGCCACGCGACTGACTCTGCAAACCATCTCAGCAAACATCAAACACGTCGCGCGCCAGCTCGCCTGGGATCTCGTGAGCTTCTACAGCGGCAACCATACCGGCGACATCCCTGGCAACCTCCCCGATCCGTACTACTGGTGGGAAGCGGGCGCGTTCTTCGGCACACTGATCAACTACTGGACCTACACCGGCGACGAAACCTACAATGCGATCACCACGCAAGCCATCCTGCACCAGGCCGGGGAGAAACGCGACTTCATGCCCACCAACCAGACCCGCACCGAGGGGAACGACGACCAGGCCTTCTGGGCGTTCACAGCGCTACAGGCTGCAGAAAACAACTACCCGAACCCTCTTAACGATCAACCCTCGTGGCTGGCTCTGGCGCAGGCGGTCTTCAACCAGCAGGCCGCGCGCTGGGATCCCACCAAATGCGGCGGAGGCTTGAAGTGGCAGATCTACGCCTTCAACAGTGGCTACACCTACCGCAACGCGATCTCAAACGGGTGCTTCTTCAACATCGCCGCCCGACTGGCACGGTACACCGGAAACTGCACCTATGCGGACTGGGCCAACAAGGCATGGGACTGGTCCTCGGGGGTTGGACTGATCGGGCCCCACTTCGAAGTCTACGACGGCACCAGCGAAGGGAACAACTGTTCGGATCTCAATCATGTGGAGTGGACGTACAATAACGGAGTCTTCCTGCTTGGGGCGGCGCATATGTGGAACTACGTACGTTGTGATTTTTCCTCTCCCTCTAATTCTTTTATTTCTCTGTCCTCGGCTATTCGCAGATGCCAAGAATCAGATGACTTTTACTCACTACTCCTCATCTTGCAGACTAGCGGCGATGAGACCTGGCGAAACCGGATCATGGGGCTGCTGGAGGCTCAGGATATCTTCCTCTCCGACAACGAGACAGCGCAGAACGTGTTCTACGAGTCCGCGTGCGAGAACTGGGACACCTGCCAGGTGGATCAATTCTCCTTCAAGGCGTATCTGTTCCGCTGGATGGCCGACACGGTCAAACTGGCGCCTTTCACCCACGATCTCATCCTGGGCCGTCTCCGACCGACCGCGCGGGCGGCGGCCGCTCAATGTGTGGGAGGCGCGTCCGGGACGTACTGTGGAATGAAGTGGACAACGGGGGTCTACGATGGAACCAAAGGGGTGGGACAGCAGATGTCGGCGCTGGAGGCGATCCAGACCCTGCTCGTCGAGTCGGTGGCGGGGCCCCTTACCCACCAGACGGGGGGCTCCAGCAAGGGGGATGGGGCGGCGGGCACCACAACCTCGGATAAGGCCAGGGACCCCAGTGCGCTCAGACCCATCACTGCCGCCGACCGGGTGGGCGCCGCGGTCTTGACCGGGGTCGTGAGCGCTTTGGTGCTGGGTACCACGTTTCTCATGAGGCCTTGACGATGGTCTATGGTGTTGCTTAGTGTTGCTTTGTCTGGCGAGGATACTCGAGAAGTACATGGTTGATCAATTTGAATTGTTGTGTTGAGAGACTTCGCTTGCGCGGTCTTCCATTAGCCGTGTTTCTGCCCACACTGTTATCAGTCAACCTTGAGACTTTGTTCTATCACAAAAAGATTGCTATTTCGCTTATGCACACGATGGGAAGATGTCGGAAAATACTCAATCCAGATGTTCCGAACAGACCCAAATTACCCAAATAGGCTATTATCGAGAGAAACCGGGATCGATAGTATACTCGTAGATTGCATAACGGGGAGTGACAGGGTGGGGCAACTTGGACTCTAAGATCCAACCAACATGCAACCATTTCGAACAGAAGGCCTTCTGGATTCCACCCTCAATGCCAAGTCCACAGTATTTGACACGACTTCTTACCGACTGTTGGAACTCGCCCATCACCGCCAATCTTATCGAGCGAGTCTGGAAGCTGACATAAGCGGAGATCGATCCCTTATCTTGAACTAGTCCTGATGCGGCCAAAGATACGCCGGGTCGGTCCACCGAACCAATCAGAAGACAGATCTGGAAGGGAGGCAAATGCCGGGATCGGGATTGCTGATAATCTGCAGTGTCTGGAGACTCTCTGTGAAACAAAGAGGCGGGGAGAGATACGGTTTATCCTACTACTTAAATCGTTCATCTCGCTGCTTTCGTCTCCCTCAATTGCCCTTCATTTGTTTGATTTAGACGCGAAGCAGAGGATTCTTCAGTAGCAATCCCGCAGACACAATGACAGCCTCAGGCCCACACCCTTTTGACCCTATCAACCCGGCGGAAATCGTCCTTGCCACCAAATTGGTAGAGGCTGCTTTCCCCGGCGTCAAGCTCCGATACAAGAAGATTGATATCCAGGAGCCGATCAAAAGCGAGGTCGTTCCGTATATCGAGGCAGAGCGTCTGGGAAAGCCATTGCCTCCCAAGCCGACGCGGTTGCTGCAGGTCCTCTTCCACCGCTTGGACACCGGTGCTTTTCTGAAAGCCCTATTGAACGCAGGCACCCGCTCGATCGTCTTTGCCAAGGAACTGCCCAAGGATGTCCAGGTATGTTTCCGGCGTTACACATCCCCTTGTCGCCTGTCTCTCGCTGCTGACTGGCCTCCTCGCCCCAGGCCCCTGTGGACGCCGACGAGTTGGAGGAGATCGAGCGATTGTGCTTAAACCACCCCGCGGTACAGGCGGAGGTGGCGAAACTGCAGCTCCCCGCCGGCGTGACGGTCTGCAACGATCCCTGGATCTATGGGAGGGACGACCCCAACGAAACCCGCCGGTTGTTCCAGTGTTACATGTACATCGTGGCCACGAACCACCCGCAGAACAACCACTACTCCACTCCTTGCAAGTTCTCTCCCGTGTTCGATGGCATCACCCACGAGCTGGTCCGGATCGACTTCCTGCCTGGGGGCGTCGATGCGACAACCACCGAGACGCAACCGTGGAAGCCCGTGCAAACCATCCAGTATGCGCACGAGCTGCTGGATGAGCCCGTGCGGACGGACCTGAAGCCATACATCGTGCAACAGCCTCAGGGGCCGTCGTTCACTGTCCAGGGGAATGTGGTGTCGTGGCAGAAGTGGCGGTTCCGCGTGGGGTTCAACAGCCGCGAGGGCTTGGTCGTCTACAACACCACCTACGATGGACGCAACCTGTTTTACCGACTGTCTGTGTCGGAGATGACCGTTCCTTACGGAGGTAAGTGTTGATTCTAGCTATGTTCTGCAGCTATCACTCCCAATCCCTGAATCGTCAATACCGCGACTGAGACAAGAAACTGACCCGCACCCCAGACCCGCGCGCCCCCTACCACCGCAAACAAGCGTTCGACGTGGGCGACGTCGGCTTTGGCATCACGGCGAACCAGCTCTCCCTGGGCTGCGACTGCCTCGGGCACATCAAGTACTTCGACGGGTACCGAGCGGACTCGAAAGGCCAGCCCCTCCTCTTAAAGAACGTGATCTGCCTGCACGAGCAGGACAACGGGCTGCAGCACAAACACACCAACTACCGGACGAACGCGGCGACGGTGGTGCGCAACCGGCAGCTGGTGATCCAGATGATCTGCACGGTGGCCAACTACGAGTACATCTTCGCGTTCATCTTCGACCAGGCGGCCAACATCGAGCTGGAGGTGCGGGCGACGGGGATCCTGTCGACGGTGCCGTTCGACAACGCGGCGCCCGGCACGACGGTGCCGTGGGGCACCAACGTGGGGCCCGGGGTGATGGCGCCCTTCCACCAGCACCTGTTCTCCTTCCGCATCGACCCGGCGCTCGACGGTTTCGCCAACACGGTCTACTACGAGGACAGCGTGCCGCTCCCGGAGGACGCGAACAACCCGTGGCTGGTGGGGTACACGACGGAGCAGACGGTGCTGCGGCGCAGCGGCACGGCGGAGACGGACGTCGCGCGCCACCGCGTGTTCAAGATCCGCAACGACGCGCGCGTCAACCCGATCACCTACAAGCCCGTCGCCTACAAGCTGCAGACCTCGCCGAGCCAGATGCTCCTGGCCAGCCCCAAGTCGTACGGCGTCCAGCGCGCCCGCTTCGGCACCAAGCCCATCTGGGTGACGCGGTACCGCGACGACGAGCTGTACGCGGCCGGCGAGTTCACGAACCAGAGCGCCGACTCCCAGGGCGTGGACAAGTGGGTGCAGCGCAACGAGGTGGTGGAGAATGAGGATCTGGTGCTGTGGCATAGTGAGTATAACTCTGGCACTTGCGGCCTTGCCCCCCCCCCCAGCGAAAACAACCTCCACTTTGGTTGTATTATGATAAGCTTTTGCAGACTAATCGACGGAACAGCCTTCGGCCTCACGCATAACCCCCGCATCGAAGACTTCCCCGTCATGCCCATGGAGCGCGTCAGCGTCATGCTGCGCCCGGACGGCTTCTTCACCAAGAACCCCGCGCTGGACGTGCCGGCCTCGAACCAGACCTTCAACCAGTCGACGCTGCACCCGGAGCCCGTGGCGTGCTGTGCGCCCGCCGAGCGGCAGGGCAAGTTGTAGTTGTAGATTGTTTCTTCCGATAGATAGATAGATTCACTCCTGGATGGTATCACGATTAATGACACTGCTTGGTATTTCTCTCGAATACGTACCTCAATCATCATCCGGAATATACACTGGAGACTCAGTCATCTATACCGACTCTAGAAACCAATGGAAAGCTTGCATGACCGGGTATACTGTACCCAGCACGAGGCGAGGGGAGCATGACTACTAGGTACCTACTCGCCACCAGTTAGTTACCAGTAGTCACAGTCACAACCCGCCAGCATTTCCACCACCATCTCGCAGTACCTACGAGTTATCTAAACGTTGTTGGAAATGCAGTACCACGGTAAGACCCAACCTCCCCATCCCCAAAAGTCAGGTTCAACGTACATCCCGACCCCGACCGACCCACCGACCTCGCCGACCACGATAAAACCAAAACTAAACCCCGGCAGAATCGCCGACCAGCCCCAACATGACTAAGCAGCGCCGTACGCCATAAAACCCCCCACTTTTCTGCTGGTTCATCCACCGCTCACCACCAACCCAAACCTCCAAAACATATCCTTTCATAGCAAAAGACCCTACATCTACCACCGTCATCATGTGCATGAAGGCCACCTGCTCTACTTGCCGTATGCTCCCATGACATTCACCATGCACGAAAGAAGAAACTGACCGAAACAGAAAAAACCTCCTGGTGGGGCTGCGGCGCGCACATCCCCTCGGTCATGGATGCCATCCCCGAGAGTGAGCGGTGCACTTGCGCGCCCAAGGTCGAGCGGGAGGGCAAGTCCTACCCGCCCAAGGCGGCGCGGTGACTCCCTGGGTGTGTTGTTGTTTAGGTAGGCAAAGAGGGTGATGGGATGGTGGCGTTGGGGTGTTTGAGGGAGTTGGGCGATGTGGGAGGGATTCTGATGAAGGTGACGATACGTTATACATGTACTGTACGCATGTGTTGAATGATGTGGAGATAAGAGAATATCTCATTGGACATAATAAAACACCGTACAACATCAAATAGACAGTTCATCATTCATACAAGAAAACGCATGTTGCGCGATACCCGGTCTCAACACATCCACCACCTCCAACGAGACACCTCAATCAAGCGACAACCACATCTTGAAAGCTCCCCGACTCGCTCATATACACCTTCTCCACTCCCCTATCTCCGGACCGCCTGAGCACCTCCCTGCCACCGCCCTCAAACCCCTCTACCATCGAACTGGTACCCCCCCGCTCCGGAATCCCCTCCAAATACCCGGCATACCTCGCCACCGCAAACGCCGCCGCTCGCGCATTCATCAGAAAAGCTTCCTGATCCAAGTTCGCCACCGTATCTCCAGCCCCATGATAATGAGGATCATACGCCACCCCGACTCGACCCCCAAACAACTCCGCGTCCCGCTGCGTCTTGACCCCGTCGGCCCCGGTGAACAGCCCTCCCGCAGGAATGCCTTTTCGGATGAATGCCCGATAATCCGAGCGCCCGTTGAATGGCGTCGCGCGGTAGGACACATTCCGCCGCTCGAAGTACTCCTGCAGCGTGTGCTGGATGTGGTCCGACCCCGGCGGGCCGGAGACATTGTACCGGGAGCCATCACCATCGTAGATCATGTACGCGTAGTTTGGGGAGGCGATCATATCGAGGTTCAAATACAGGCGGATGTGCGTGAGGTTGGCGGGCGACGAATTATTGATGTAGTAGGTGCTGCCCAGGAGCCCGAATTCCTCGGCTGTGAAGAAGAGGAAGCGTACCGCGTTGCGGATTAAGGGGCGAGACGACGACAAGGCAAGAGCGCGGGCGATGGCTAGACAGCCGATGGTGCCGGAGCCGTTGTCGTTTATGCCGGGACCGGCGTCCACGGAGTCGGTGTGGCTGCCTACGGTGATCACGTTGCTTGCGTTGCCGGCTTTGGTCTGCGCGATCAGGTTGTAGGTCAGGCGTGGGGCGGATTGGGTGTGGATGTAGAGGGTTAACCGTGGGGATGGAATGGGGGTTGTTGTGTTGGAGGAGGTGGCGTTGGGCGTGATGCTGCGCAGGAGGCGCTGGCCATCGAGGAGGCTGATTCCCACGGTTGGGGCAAAGGGGGTCGTGGTATTAGGGCTGCCCAAGGAGCCGTGCAGCGGGCCGGCGACGTTGTTGTAGATTATGAGGCCTGCGGCGTTGGCGGCCGCGGCCAGGGTGGATTTGTGGCCGAAGGCACAGCCGCCCCGGCGCGTGAGGAGGATCTTTCCCACTGCGGAAGCGTTGTAGTCGTCAGCGCTGCAGCCGAGTTGGGGGACGAGGGCCAGTTCGGCGGTGACGTTCGTGCTTGGGCTGTGGGCCATGCTATGCGCGATGAGAGACTGGCCCTCGGCTGTAGTCACCGATTGATTGTGTTTCGTCCAGGTATGGATTTGGGGCTGTCGGTGGAGGTCGTAGGCTCCCGTCGCGTTGAGCTCGCGGTAGATGTAGCCCAGCGTGTCATTGTGGGCGGCGCCACCGAAGACTCGATTGCGTTGCGGGTAGGCATAAGCGAAGTCTTGGAGTCTCTGCGTGCCTTCGAGGAGATCGGATAGAGTGATTTGTGATGCGAATGTTTCCTAGGGGGAAAGGCTGTGTGTTAGCCATTCTCGGGATGTGATCCACCAGGAGAGAGGGACATACAGGAGAGACAGAGGCTCTCTTGGTTGCAAGAGCTGTACTGAATGGAACATATAACAATAGAGTGAATGTCTTCATAGTAATAGCAATAAGAATAGAAAGAGTGTCTTAGGAAGTGCGGTGATGTAAGAATAGTGAGTTGGTCAGGAGTTGAATTCAGCTCGAACGTCCTGGGGCTTGGGATGACTTTTATGGTACCCTCCATCGCAGTTGCCAATCAACCCACCGCCACTGCCAATTTGGGTGAAGTGGTGCTTTCCACCTGGTTGCGCAATCCTACCAGAGTGGTATTGTGCAACACTTGGCCAGGGACAAGTCTAACAGACAGCGGCGGGAGTCCCAGCTCAGGTTACACTGCTCGGATAGTATGGTGGGAGCAACCTTCGTCCTGCCAGCAGTTTGGCAGACCATGATTGACCTTAGCCCCTTGTACTCGAGGAGGTATACCTCTCTACAACCATATCCATAGTAAGGATGCACTTCGACTACTTCTCTTGCCGCTGAAGTAGAATCGGTAGATGGGAGTATGACAAGCCTCGTTGATCGATGCTTCCACGAGGCACGTTCATAAGCCCACATTATGGTGTGGTTGCACGGCGTGTACAAAGATGAAGCGACAGATCACATCATCAACTTATCATACCATACTTTTTTAAATGGCTCTCTGCGTCCAGCTCGCGAGTCCAAAGGAGACAGTATTGATCATGGGAAGGTGCATTGAGGGTTCAGGGTACACAAGGGGCAGCACGCGGAGCCCTACCCGTGTGGAGCGAAGAACCAGTTGAACTGTGAATATGTGTGGCCCAATTTTGGAGCCAGCCTTTTCCACTCCAGCCTACGCTACAATCAGAAGTGGTATGTTGGCCCTGACAGGATTGGAATCACACTGCACACTAAAGCAGAATAAGTTCCCCTCTTGGCTTAATGGTTCGAAGCTTTCCAAGACTAGAAGTATGACTAGTATGACTTAGAGGGCATGGTGCGAGAATTCGATCTCGGGGCAAACACTTCAACCTTATCAGCGAGGTCAAGAGCTCCGGCGTCAGTACGATGTATGAGACAGGGGTATTATTTGAACTTTTGGCTGATAGGTTGATAGGTTGTGTCAAGCTGAAGTCTGTTAATTTTGTCCCACGTGGCTGTAGGCGACCGGCAGCATCTTAGCGCAGACCCTGAATTTACCGTTCGCGCAAGCTGTCATTGTACTTGACCGCTGAAATGCTCAGGGACCTGTTGCTCCTAATTCAAGAATGGTCATTCCAGTCTAGTATTCAACCCTGCCTTCCAAATGCCTTTGAGGATACATGAGTGTATGTGGACTTAGTGTATCGAACCCCGCACGACCCGGATAGTCTGACAGGATGGCTATTTTTAGTACTGATTGGTAAGCCCATCAAACCACATTTGTTCGTGGATTAGGGGGAGGTTGAAGGTGAGCTTCTCAGAGTAAGCTCACTTCCAAAGTAGTAAATGGTCTGTTTGAGTGATAAATGAGATCTTGCCTGAATTGATGGTTGCCTGAATCCCAGGCTTCCACAAAACCGTGGTCGGAATGTGCTAGCCCGCAATTATAAATGAACAAAGGTGCGACGATACTTATCCGACCGCGGAATCGCTGATAAGGACTGCGACCAGGAAGAATATCAACCGCGAGACTTGTCGTGGGAGAGGATTGAAACCTGCCCATCCAAAAATCATTGAGCCCCCCCTATCCAAGACCCTTATGCAAAATGACACTCATCAACATATCCATCACCTCAGACCCAGTCTGTCCATGGGTACGTTCCCAGCATCCCTCCCAAGTAATCCCCAACGCCTAAGAAAATTCCAAGTGCTACATCGGTTACCGCCGCCTCACCAAGGCCCTCCGCCTGTACCAAAAGACCTACCCGGGCGGTGGTCAAGACGCCATCCGCATCACCTGGAAACCGTACATTCTGGACGCTAACGCCCCGATGGAGAGCATCCCCTACATGGGTAACCCTAACCTTTCGCATATACCTCACCAAACCCACGACAAGATATTAACCGATCGCTCAGAACGAATGACCCAGAAGCTCGGCCCGGAGAAGGTCCCCCACGCGCAAGCCCACCTCCAGCGACTGGGCCACGCCGACGGGATCCACTTCCGCTTCGGCGGGCGGATTGGAAGCACCCTCCCCGCGCACCAGGTTATCATGCTCAGCCAGTTGCAGGATCAGGGGCATACGTCAGAGAGCACATTGACGGGGTCGGATACTGGTGTCGGTGCGGCGGCGCTCGTGGAGGCGATCTTCGAGGCGCATTTCGAGCGGGAGCAGGATATCACGGATGTTGAGACGTTGGTTCGATTGGCGGGGCAGGCGGGAATGGATGAACGTGTCGCTCGCTCGTGGTTGGCGGAAGGGCGCGGCGTGGCGGAGATCCAGCAGGAGGCGCTGAGGGCAAGGGACGAGGGGATCGTTGGGGTACCGTACTTTCAGTTCGGAGGAGGGGAGCGGATGCGCTCGTTGAGCGGGGGGCAGGAGGTTGCGGAGTTTCTGGAGGCCTTGATTGCGTATAAGGAGGGGTTGGAAGCGACAGATGCTTCGAGTGGTGTGCGGGGAGTAGCGTGCGCTGGGGATACTTGCTGATGTCCATGGATGAAAGCAAGATTGAGAGGCATGAAGGATTATGGAGCGTAGTTGCTGCCAGGGGGATATGTGTTCGTTTTTGATTTGCTTTTAAGCGCGTCTGGACAGATGGGTCGCGGTCTGGATCTGTTCTGATGCAAGAGGTTGCATATGGCTGTTGTCCACACTCTCGGGTCTGAGAACTCTTCTGTTTAAAGTGCGATATTAGCCTGCAATTCAGCGCAAGACATACTGGACCCAGCACTTTCAATTTGAGTTGGATACTTGATATAGATTGCGGCACGAACACCAGGATAAGCAGTTTCATTCTGGTCCAACGCCCAGGATTTGTCAGAAGCCAAGTTCACCGGTCCTTCATGGGGGCGTTGAGGACGGCCGATACTTGTGATGATTAAGGGTAGGGTATTCATGCAGCAGACCCTATCAGGGACGAGCGGCCAGCCCTCCCGCAGAATGACTGGCATAACCTCCCCATGCATTCACCACTATGAAGGATCTGACCGCAACGGTTAAACTCGTCATCTGCAGGCAGGATCCGTTGCTACCCGATTCGACTCAAGGTAATTGTACGCTAAGATGAGACAAGAAGGCGATACACACGCGGACGGCATTCACACTACTTAGATGATTGACATCGAATGATGAACACGAAATACAAAGATAAAACTGACTGTCTTCACTGGGCAGTCTCACGCAACTTCTCCAGTGGGTCCTGCTGGGGCTGTCGGCATGTGTTTCCTGGCCTGGTGATTAGCTGCGCACGGGGTGGGTGAGGCTAAGCTCTAGGCTGAAATGGCGGGCACAGCGTTTGTCTTGGCCGCCAAGCCGCGTGGAGAAAATGCCCCATACCGACATTTGCCTGCGTGGCAGCCAATCAGAGGCAGTTCTGGCCCGAATTGAAGCGGTGATGCTGTGTTATGCCCAAGTGAAGTCGGCGTGCATTTCCTTTCAAGTCGGGAGCGAACCTTGCCCCTCCCCCCCTCACTTGTGATTCTCCTGCTTAGTCACGTCTAAGGATATGGGGATAGAAAGACAAAAGACAGCCTGGGACCACTGGCCCAACTAGGCAGACTGGTTTCTGAAAATGGCATCGTCACCACTAGCAATCGCATCGTTACCAGTGAATCTTAACACGAACACGCCAGGAAAAATGGAAACCGACACGCAGATACCTAGTAATACGAATTACCTTCCCTGGGGGTTTGAACCTCCCCTCCAGCACTACTACTACTACCCACCAATCATCTACCCATCACCATTTTACCCATCATCGGTCATCTCCGATTCCTTCATCCTCCAGCCCTCCAGATCCAGTCCGAGCTACACCTTCAACGCAATGCCAACCCTCGACCTCCCGCCCGAGCTGATCCTCATGGTCGCCGACCACCTCACCAAGCGCAGCGACATCAGCGCCCTATCCCGAGCCAACCGCCGCCTGTACAGCATCGTGAACCCCTACCTCTACCGGCAGAACGCGCGCCACCACAAATCGTCCGCCCTGGTCTGGGCCGCCCGGCGCGGGGTCCCCGGGACCGCACGACACAGCATCGCCGCCGGGGCCGACGTCAACATCCAAGACAAGAAGGCGCCGACCCCGCTGTGCATCGCGGCGATGCGGGGCCGCGCCGAGGTCGCGGGCCTCCTGCTGGAGGCCCGCGACATCGACGCCAACCGGCCCAACACCGACGGCAACAGCCCCCTGATCCTGGCCATCACCTACCGGCACACGAACGTGCTGCGCGTGCTGCTGGCGTCCGGCCTCGTCGACGTCAACTCCGGCCACCTCCTCACGCCGCTGCTGCACGCCGCGTTCGTGAACAACGTCAAAGCCGTGAAGCTGCTGCTGGAGCAGGACGGCATCGACGTCAACGTCGCGGATTTCTCCGGAAATACCGCCATTCGCTATGCGGCGGCGTTCGGGTTCCATCGGGTCATGAGGGTGCTGATTGAGGACGGGCGCGCGGAGGTGGATGAGAGGTGTGGGGAGAGTGGGCAGACGCCGTTGTCGCGCGCGGCGGCCACGTTCTTCGATGCGACGGTGAGACTGCTGCTGAGGACCAAGCGGGTGGATGTCAATTCCCGGGATAATCAGGGCCGCACCCCGTTGTCGTGGGCCGCGGAGACGGGCGCCGAGGCCGCGGTGCGCATGTTGCTGAAGGCCCCGGGGGTGGAGGTCGATGTGCGCGATTCCGAGGGCTGTACCCCGCTGTCTTTGGCGGCGAAGAAGGGCCACGAGGCGGTCGTGAGACGCTTGCTGGCGACGGGGAAAGTGGATGTCGATTCCGTGAATGAGAATGGCTGGAGTCCCCTGTTCCAGGCGGTGGTGCATGGGCATGAGGGGGTCAAGAACTTGCTTCTGGCGGCGGGGCGGCAGGCGTGATCTTTGTTGTAGCGGGTGCTTCGGCGTTGGGGTGAAAGGGTTGCACATGCACATAGCATTGTTCACTGCATTTGCATTAGATTGTACGAGTTAAGATCGGAATTTGTGATTCGGAAATTTCTCACTTCTGCTGTACTGACTGCAAATACGAGTTTATCTCCAATGCGGATGCGCCCATGCCTTTATACCGACCCCTAGTAGTTTCTAGAGAAGGCAGAGACCAGAGATGCAAGGTTGTGGTATATAAGTAGCAGTAGTAGTACAGGCCGACTGATCAACGATCAATGGTTACACTCAACCACCTGCACGAGTTCAGATAGCTCTTAGAGGGTTACACTGCCAAACACATTGCATCTAGTCCCACTTCCCTACCAAGAATCAAAGTCTTATTGGTACATTAACCCGATCTCTATATCCCCAGAAAAGCAGGCCCTGGCCCAAATGTAGCTAACCTGCGTCCACAGTGCTGTCAACGCATCCCTAATTCCGGTTGTCCCCACGAATCGCTTGCAGCTAAATCATAATTTGGCAATTACAGAAAAAGTTTTTCTTTTGTTTTACGTAACAAATGAAGTCTTCCTGTGTATAACTCAGATGCTTGTTAAATCTATCGCATCATGAAGGAAATCTGACATGCTCAACCCAGAACAATCGACCAATCTTCCCTCCTGATCCATTCCTCCAAACTAGTCATGGGACAATCAATTCCTGCCTAAAGGAAGTCAGCATTAAACCCACACATCCAAGGATAGACAACATGTCTCACCCTTCGTATATCCTCCGCCGTCAACAAGCTCCCATCACCCCCATCATACCCCGGATCCGTCGAATAGGAGAACATATCCCCAACCTCGCGGCCAAACTCCAGCTCGGGCGCTTTTGCAATGAGCTCCTCAAGCGTGATCTGCCGATACCGCGCCGCCACCGCGTTCACCTCGCCCCAAATCCTCATATACTTCGCCCAACTGCACCTCGTCCCACAGGCCATATAACTCCTCCCGGGCGGCATCCGGGCAACCGCATACACAAACCCACCTAGATCAGTTTGCACATCGAGATGGGGCACCACCGCATCCGGGGCGGTGGTGAAGGTCATCTCAAACACATCCTCCCCGTCCTCCGTCTTGCCCTAAACACCCGAGTCAGCCAACTCCTTACCTCCTGACGCCCCGACCCAACGCAACACCGAGCTCTCCCCAGAAGGGAACAACACACCTTCCCAAAATACGCCCCGGGAACCAGCTTATAACTCGAGGTAAAGTACCCCGTCTGCACGCACGACATCTTCGCCGCCAGCGCCGGATACCTCTCGCGTACATAATCAGGGAACACCTCCGCCTTGGCATCGAAATGGTACAGTTCGCGAAACTGGCCCCGGCTGCATCGCGTCGCGTGGCTCAGCGTCGAGACAATGAACCCGTTCGCAGCGAGCGAGTCCACCGTCTGCGCCGCCGCATCGGCGATGCTCTGCCCCTGCTGCCGCTCCACCCGGTAGGCGTGCTCGCGGGGCGAGATGCCGGCGGCGGCGGCCTGCTGGCGGCCGGCCGGGCTGGAGAAGGGTTCCCAATAGTTGGTGACGCTGAAGATGATGTTTGCGCCTTGGAAGGCCGGGAGTAAACTGGCGGGGTCGTTGAGGTCGGCGGGGATGAGCTCCACGCCATGCTGGGTGAGGGTCTGCGCGGTCGGGCTGTGCGGGTCGCGGGTGAGGCCCCGGACGTGGAAGGTTGGGTCCTGTAGGAAGCGGCGGGCGACGGAGGCGCCCTGGTTGCCGGTTATGCCGATGATGCAGATTGTTTTGGTGGGTGGCATCTCTACTTTGCTTTTCGGGTGTTTAGGTCGAGGGTTGTTGTTGATGAGTTGGTTTAAGGTGTTGTTGGTGGGGTTGATAGGTTCTTACCCCGCTTTTGCTAGTCGCACGATATCTTTCTGGCAATGTTCGATCTCTTCCTTTTACTCGTATGTGACTGTCGAGATTAACCTAGTTGGAAGTATGGATGTTCTGTACCCTCCTATTGTGAGGAAGTAACTTCCTTACTACTTTACTTTTCCTTGTTTTGCTATCTCTGAGAACGCCGAGAGAGGTTTCGCCGGGAGACTTCAGGCATCATCATCCTGATCAATTTTCACCTGCTCCCGAAAGTCTCACGTAAGACGGTGACAGGGTTCATGGCAGGGCTCATGAAATCCTGCTGTTAATAATGAGACTAGCAAGGACAAAGAGCTGGTTACCGCTTTCAGTCGAAGTTTTAACTGATGCCTAGCTTCCCATCGCAATAAAGCTGTTTGTAGCCCGCAACATTCCAACACCAGACAGCAGCACCCGCAAACACTGCCCTCTACGCACACCTGACCATTACAATGAGTTCTCCAATTCAAAAGGACGCATTCTGGGGCCCGCCAACGTCCCATGCAAAGTAAGCCTCGCCCCAAGTACACACCCATTCCGACCTCATTCTCCGCCGTACCAAGCTAACAATCTTCATCCAGTTTCTGCGAAGCGGTATCTACCCCCCACACGCACCAACACCTCCGTCTACAAAGACAATAAGCTCTAACCTCTGTAGCCAGGACTATACCATAACCCGCTACATCGCCGAATTCATCAACACCCTGACCAACCTCACCTACAGTAACCCCCACACCCTCGCGACCCTCTCCCCAAACGGCAACAGCAAAACCTAATTCCAGTCCAGTTCTCTACGCCATCCACGGCCTCCGCCATCTCCCCCACCACCTCTCTCCCTCACTTTCGCGCCGTATTCCATACTACGGCCTCGTCGGCGTAGGCCTCTGCTCCGCCGGCTTCCACCTGAGCCTCAAGTATCACACGCAGATGAGTGCGTCTCCTTCCCCCATCCCTTTCTAGTTCACATGTTTAACCTATTCGCGCAACACTGACCACCGCCCCCCTATTGCCGGGCCAAAATAGTGGACGACCTCTCCATGCTCCTCACCACCACCCCGCTCCTCCACCGCGTGCTGACAATCAACACCAGCGCACAGACCTCGTCGCGCGTGGCGCTGGCGCTGGGAGCCGCGCTGCTGGGCCTCGCGACCATGCACGTAGTGACGGACGAGCTGGTCCTCCACGCAGTGGGCTTCGTGGGCAGTGTGACGGTCATCGGGGTGCGGACGATGCAGTTGATCCAGCAGCGGACGAGCCGGGGGTCCGTTGCAAGGAAGGAGTTGTGGGCGTTGGTGCGGTTTGGGGCTGGTCGGTCTAATCCCTTTCCTGTTATCTGCTAAGTAACAAGTATAATGATGATTTCTGGGGCAGTGATATTCAATGTGGGGTATGTCGTCTGGCTGGTGGATGGGTGGGCGTGTTCGGTTTTGCGGAGGTGGAGGGCGGCGGTGGGGGTGCCGTGGGCGTTTGGGTTGGAGTTACATGGGTGGTCAGTCACTTCCCTCATTGTCTATCCCGCAGATACGAGTGGGTTTGCGTGATGGGGGTTGATGCTAAGCATGGCGGTATTTAGGTGGCATATCTTCACCGGGGTGGGCGCTTACACCTTCATTGCGGTGATTGACCACCTCGTCTCTGACGCGGAGCATACGGAGCTGCAGAGGTCGGTGGCGTGGCCGTTGAGTTGGATGGTCAGCAGGACAGCAGAAGCCAAGGTGAAGGAGTGAGGGTTACTGTCCCAACACATTGAGTTGTACCTCGTTTTGTGGACTGTGGTATGCCTCGATATGAGTAATCCGACGGCATTTCCTCTCCACATCCTGGCCCCACCTCCCACATTTGCTGACCCCACCCTTCCTCCACATGCACAATTTGTACTCATCCGAGTACATGAAATCCAGCTTCATCGCCCCGTGGCTATCCTGCTCTGGGCATTGGTAATTTCAAGACAAACGAGATAATCGAGTCCGCGGGGCCCCAGACAGAACTCCGCAAAGCTTGTCTCCGTGCCAAAGAATGCTCGCAACAGTGTAGACGTGTAAGAACCGCGCTCGGACGAGACGCAAGCCAGACGTTGATCGCCACCAAAGTTTACCGTCGGTAAACAGCCCGGTCCCGCATGGCAAATAGGAACATGGCGAAAACAAATGCGGGGCCTCGAAGGCTAAGCAGGGAATCCCCATCTTTCTTCCCTTTTTTCGAATTTCCTATTTCTTGTCCGCTTTCCCCTCTGGCCGAGTCTTTCTTACTTTTCTCTTTGTTGCATAGCAGAGAGCTTGAGAAAGGTTGACTGAATCCACACCATGTCCTTCCAACTGCACAGTGCCCCGCCCTTCCGGGCCGAACACATGGGTTCCCTGCTCCGGCCCCAGAACCTGCTGGAGGTGCGCGAGAGGATCCGCGACACGGGCGTGTCCGAGGAGGAGGCGGGGTTGCACGCGGTCGAGAAGCAGACGGTCGGGGAGGTGGTCCAGCTGCAGCGGGACTTGGGCTACAAGGCTGTCACCTCGGGCGAGTTCAACCGGACGCGGTTCTGGGGGCAGATGTGGGATGAGTTTGAGGGTATGCCTGCATCATCGGACGAACCGAGAACGACGGGCTGACTGAACGCTGCAGGAACCGTCCGTCTGCAGGACGCCGAGGCCTCGATGTTCCGGCTGTACCACCCGGACGTGGTCAGCCTGATCGAGAAGGACCGCAAGGTGATGCCGGGCGACTCGGTGATCGCCGGCTCCAAACTGTCGTGGAGCGCGGAGAAGTCCGTGTCGAACCTGCACGAGCTGCGGCTGGTGCAGCAGGCCCTGCCCGAGAGCGAGTGGGGCACCATCAAGCTGACGATGATCACGCCCGCTTGGTTCCACATGCGCTACAAGCAGGGCAAGGCCTACAGCCCGGCGGCGTACGCCACCGACGCCGAGTACTTCCGCGACGTGGCCCAGGTGTACCGCGCGGAGCTGGCGGCGCTGTACGCGGCGGGGCTGCGCAACGTGCAGTTCGACGACCCCGGGATGGCCTACTTCTGCTCGACGGCCTTCCGCCAGGGCTGGGAGGCTGACCCGGACAACCTCGGCACCGTCGAGGACCTGCTGGATGCCTACATCCAGCTGTACAACGACTGCCTCCGCGACCTGCCCGCCGACTTCCACACGGGCATCCACCTGTGCCGCGGCAACTTCATCGGCGGCCGCCACTTCGCCGAGGGCTCCTACGACATCATCGCCCAGAAGCTCTTCCAGGACCTCAACGTCCACACCTTCTACCTCGAGTACGACAATGAGCGCTCCGGCGGCTTCGAGCCCCTCCGCTTCCTGCCCACGAACAAGAACGTCGTCGTCGGCATCATCAGCACCAAGCTCCGCGCCCTCGAGGACAAGGAGGCCATGAAGGAGCGCGTCTACCGCGCCGCCGAGTTCGTGAGTGCCGGCAGCGGCGAGTCCCGCGAGGAGGCCCTCCGCCGCATCTGCGTCAGCCCGCAGTGCGGGTTTAGCACCCACGAGAGCGGCTACCCGCTGAGCCTCGAGGATGAGAAGAAGAAGCTGGGCTTGGTTCGCGAGATCGCGGACGAGATCTGGGGCCAGCCTTAGGTCAGTATGGCTTGGGTGGTATGACGACGGGGTGGGCAGGAGTTAAAGGGATATTTTTCTGGGCATTTCAACAGCGAACGGAAATTGTGACGATGTGACACGAGATATGTATTCAACAGACGTAATCAGAATGACTGCGGGCGGCATGTACATAGCGCTTTTGGGGGGAGGGGGGGGCTGAGCCGACCTTGGATGATTAATTCAATGCAACAATTGATGTTTGACACTTTCTCAGCGCAGTTAGAGTTGGAGTTGGTGAATCCAGAAGCTGCTATTGTGGACGTTGGCCTTGAATTCAGCAAGTCTCCTAAGCTCGTCATCAAAGTTGAGATGATGAACTCCGTGAGGGATTAGGACTAGCGCTTGGTCGCTTCATCCGTTCCGACTGAGTGACGTTGCGTCCAGAAGAGCTACTCTACCAATGTACGAAGTAAACGTGTGTCATGGGATGCTGATCGCGGGTCGTTAGGGTCGGGTAAGCGGCCAAGCACTGGAGACGGTGTGTACAGCTGTGCCGGTGAAGTACTCGCCCCTGAAGCTAGCGGCAACTGCAACAACGGTTTATGGATGTGTAAGCGGAAGCACCCAAGGGCCAGAACCCAGGGATGTGGTGGTCTGTGGCACCAGCCAGGGTCAAAAGGGTCAACAGCCAAGATCTGCAATCTAGTCCAAACAGCCTCACCCTACTGCTCAGCCCTAGATTGATGCTTTTTGCTACGCCTTTGTCGTGATTCAAGACGTGCTTTTGGACATTGTATGGTAGGTCGACGTGAAAGGTCAGCAATCGTGATACCATGTCAGTTGGTGAATGCAGTTTTGCTTGAGGGATGGAAATAAGGTGAAACATCCCGATGCGAGCCTTAGGCCGCGTGGACGGAACCACCAATCAGCGGTGGCCGACCCTCTGATCTGCAAAAGGGCCACGCCAGCTTCTCCCGCCACGCATCAAATCAGGTTTCATCCAGACTGCCTACTGTTCCACTCGCTAAAGCTCCTACCTCCTCCTTCCTACCTCCTCTCTACGCCCATTTCCCTATTCCATTGGTTTTCCCGACTATTTCCCGTCCCCTCCTCGCACGGGAAATCCAGGGTCACCTTGGCGATTGCGACTAGGCGCCGGGTATGTGATGAAGGCCCTGAAGGGTCTTCTGTGGGCAACTCCTGCAAGCTCAAGCCCTATCTTTGCTCGTGATTCACACTCAATGCGGTGTCGAAGAGCATGCCAAGGACTCAGAGAAAGATCTCGCCCGCGTCAGCATCTTGCCGCAGTGGCTCCTGCCATCTGTCATCCTGAGACGCAAGCCTCCCCAGTCTTTTGTTTGGCACTGTCACTGCATCACATTTCCGTTGTTGATCCGTGGCTTGTTCGGCGTGCCTTTAGCAGACGTCAATGGCCTCTAGGTTCGATCCTTGCTGGAAATAGTAACGTGGAGCCTAAGCACACAAGCTCGAGTCTGCAGGACTAGGTTGAGGGCTAGGGTGAGTCAATTCCAAGGTCCTTCCAGCTTGCCGCTGGGGTGGGACGTGTAGACATCACATCCCCACCGATTCGGAACAGCCACAACCCCCGTGGTCTGTACTCGAGTGAATGGATGATCGCACCTCCATCCAGCCACCATCATTGGGCAGAGATTATCAAACCAGGCTGATCTCCTCCACCGACGATCTGAACCCATAGGAACCATCGGCAAGCATGTCCGTCTCGAGTCATAGCGATACTCGGAGGCTTCATTGTGCTGGGCCTGCAAACACTCCCTAGTCACATAGAATAGCTTCTTGTCAAGCACGCAATTGATTTGGAGTACAAGCCACAAGGGAAAGATAAAAAGAAAGTGCGAAGCAAAGGTGAAACAGCGGGTATCCTGTGACGACACGTGGATTCAGCCACCATCACTTGTCATTTTCCCTTTTCTTCTCTTTTCCGCGTCAACTCCTGCATGACTGCATGGCTCACAGACCAAATCTCTGTAACCTCAGCCCTGTCTCGAGGGATTAGACTCACTCGCACTGACCCAGGTCCACTAGCATGCTTCAACATTATTAGTCGAGTGCGGGTCCAGCGCCAGCCGTGATCGATCCACCCTCGGGGTCTCTGGGTCCAGAATAGCCTGATGATTTATCGCGAACAGTCGACGTCTCAGAATTCTGCCACCCGAAGTCGGCGGCTCACGAACATGACGAGTATCGGGATCAGCATGTACGCATGTATCAAAGAGGGCGTCGGTATGAAGACGTCGTGCTATAAAACCTCACCTCAATCCATCCAGTTCACCTTTGGAAATCAAGCAGCTCAGTTGATCTGAACGCCCATTACCTGTCCTTTCCAACGAAAAAACCTTCAAATCTACATTCCTTCTACTTTCTTACTTTTTAATCGTCCTTCACTTTGCCCTCCCACCCATTCACTCAATCTACAAGATGAAGCTCTCCGCATTCGCCATTGCCTGTATCCTGGGCTACACCTCCGCCCTGCCCGTCTTCGGCGAACAGGCTCCCACACAAACTGGTGTTCAGCCCACCGGCACTGCGGCCTTTCAGAACCCTCCGCCGTCTGGCTCTGCTGGACCTGCTCCCTCCGGTGGCCCTGGTGGCTTCGGTCAACATGGTGGACACGGTGGTTCTGGAGACGCTCCCGCTGGCGGTCAGGCATTCCCCTCTGTGACTTTCGCCGGTGCTGCTCCTTCCGGGGGTCCTGAGGACCACCAGAAGCGTCAGGTCGAGATCCCGGCCTCCTTCACCGAAGGTGGCTCTGCTCCCACCGCTGCTCCTTCTGGTGGCTTTGGGGGCGCTTCTCCCTCCGGCTCGTTTGGAGGCACTGTTCCCTCCGGATTTCCCAACGGTCCCTCTCCCTCTGGCGGATTTGGTGGTCAGGGTGGCGCTTCTCCATCTGGCTTCCCCGGTGGTGCTTATCCCTCTGGATTCCCAGGCGGTGCCTCTCCCTCTGGCTTCCCCGGCGGTGCTTCTCCCTCTGGCTTCCCCGGCGGTGCCTCTCCCTCTGGCTTCCCCGAGGGTGCTTCCCCCTCCGGCTCCCCTCAGCAGGGTCACGGCTCGCACGGCCACCACGGCGGCCACAGCGGCCACAAGCAAGGCCAGTCCTCACACAGCGCTTCCTCTGAATCCGAGCAGAAGGTCGAGCGCCGCCAGTTTGAGCAGAACCAGGGTTCCTCCTCCGAGGGATCCTCCCACGAGGGCGGACATGGCGGACAGGGCCACGAGGGTGGCTCTTCCGGCTCCAGCGGCAGCTCTTCCGAAGGCCCCTCTCCCTCCGGCACCGTTGGTGGCTCTTTCCCCTCCGGCTCCTTCGGCGGCCAGGGCGCTTCTCCCTCTGGCTTTGCTAGCGGTGGCTCTTCTGGCTTCGGAGGTCAGGGTGCCTCCCCGTCCGGTTTCCCGGGTGGCGCTTCTCCTTCCGGCTCTGTTGGTGGGCAAGGTCCCTCGCCCTCCGGTTCTTTCAGTGGCCAGGGCCCGTCTCCTTCTGGCTCCTTCGGTGGTGCCGGGGCTGAGCCCTCGGGCGCTCCTTCCGGCGCTGCCCCCACCGGTGCCTCCGGCTCTTTCTAGGCTTGTGCTGCAAGAATCTGTTGCTCGGACTGGATGTACACTCCTTTGACTGTTTGATGTGTATGTTGTGACTCGCCCTATAAGCAATGCTCTTCGAGGAACCAAGAAGGCATGTGGTGGAAGCTTTCGTTGAGTACGAACCGTGGTCTTCGCATGCGATTTGAGGTCAGGGAACTGTCTCGGTGGCGAATGATGTACAGTACAACACTTAGGCAGCTTGAATCAGATTATTCTGGCAATTGATTGGAGGGCATGACCCTTGCATTTATACTCTAGCTGAACTTAATGTCATGTTGAGCCTGTCCGGCATCCAATGCGAATTCATTGGGATACACGAGTTCAACCGTTCCTTCTCCACCAACGCAGCCCACCTACTCCCAACAACATCCCCAAGCCAACCCCCCTCACCCCAGATAATACCCCTAATTCTTCACAACAACCCCCTCCCGCTCGACCTCCTCACCTAAATTCCCACGCCCCTCCCCATCCAAAAACCCATCCCCAACCCCCACCCCCAAACGAGCCCTACTCCCCTCCTCCCCCTCCAGACTCCCAGCCACATGTTTCGCCCTACAGACAGCAAAATCAGCATGAACCTCTACCCATCCCACCCTCTTTATCCAATGGCAAAAGAGCAAACTCACCTCTCCTCCCACCCCTGCAACCACGCTGTGGCGACCGTCACCACAATCAACAGTCCCGAAATAACCGTGGCCGCCACAAACCCGCTCCGGTACCGCGGCGCATCGACCTGCTGCCACACGACGAGCGGCAGCCACGCCTGGAACACGTAGGCCATCTCGTTCATGCTCCCGACCACGAGGGCGCGCTCCTCGTTGTCGGCCGTGCAGATCTCATGGGCCCAGCTGTGTCTTTCATCAGCTTGTCCTATCCGATGCCCGTCAAAACAATCAAGATGAACCCGAACGAGGGAATGGGAGAGGGGGTTTTAGGGCAAGGCAGAAGAAAGGGACAGGGGGCGAAGGCGATGAACGTACGCCATGCACAACCCGCTCAGCCCGAACCCCGCGCCGGACAGGATGTAGCAGGTCCATTTCCAGCCCACCGGGATGTCCCAGATCGCGAGGGAGATGTAGCAGGTTATGTTGATGCACTTGCGGGGGGTGGTTAGCGTTTGCTTGGATGTGGGCTGGGAAGGGGTGTGGGGTGGGGTGGGGGTCATACTCCGCCGAAGATGATCCACGGCCAGCGTTTGCCTCGGAGGATGGTATCGGATGTCCCTGCGCTTCTCTGAGTATGATCTTTGTATTATGTCCCGAGTAGTGGATGGGTGGACCTACACGCGTAGATGAGGGTTGTGACCACCTGCACTGCCGAGGTGAGAGTCGGGTAGGCGTTGATCTGGTCGATCGTGTACTTGGGGTGCGTGGAGGCTTTGAGGAATCTGTCCCCTATCAGGACTGTCTTTCGCCACGCTGCGTGGAGGAAAGAGGTGGGCCGAGGGTGGGGCGATACGTACTGCTGGAAGACAGGCTGCGCGCCCGCTGCCCCGTTGTTGAACGTGCTGTCATCGGATTATATTATCCCATCAGCTATCCCCAATTCAATACCATTTGATGGATGAGTAAGGGAACGCACATGTAAACCAAAGTCAGCATGTATATATGCCACGAGCCGAAGATCTTCTTCAGCTTGGCTTTTGTATAAGGCTGCCGGTTCTGGCGGCCTTCGAGCTGCATCCGTTTCTGCGCGAGCTTCACCTCCTATCCTACAAGTATCAGTTTGCAATGTTCACCCGTCCAATGGAGTACAGTAAATGATAAGAAAAGGAGGGTGTCTCTCACCTCGCGAGACAAATACCACGGCTCCGAAATCTCCGGCACGTCCGGCAGGACGAAAAACCCGCCCAGCGCGACGGGGAGGGAGATGATCCCGTCGACGAGGAAAAGCCTGTTTTCCTCGTAAGTTTATACTTTCCAACCTCTTGTCAACGTGACGAGGATGGGTAAATGGGGATATACCACTGCCACCCCTTAAACCCACCTCTCCCGCCCAGCCGATACACCCCCGCCATCAGGTACCCCGAGAACATACTCCCGATCCCGCTGCTCGTGTGGAAGATGCAGGATCGCTTCGCGAGCTCGTCCTTGCGGTACCAGCAGCCGATTATGTATTGCATCCCTGGGTAGAAGGAGCTTTCGGCTAGGCCTTTTTGCCATTCCGTTGGGGTTAGATGGACTACGCGGGGGGGGAAAGGGAGGGGGTAACGTGCCGATGAAGAAGCGCAGGACGTAGAAGTGCGTTGGGGTTTTGGCCCGGGAGAGGGTGAAGGTTAGGATTGTCCAGAGGAGCTGACGTGTTGTTAGAGCTGCGGTGGGTGATGAATGATGGGTAGGGCAGGGCAAACCTCCATGGCGGGGATCCAGTAGCGAGGGCGCACCCGTGTGAGAAACATGTTACTCGGGATCTCGCCAATGACATAGCCCACCGTCCAGCAGGCTTGCATATAGTTGAGTTGGTTGCCATATAGCCCGAGGTCTTCTTTCCTGGTGGGAGTTAGTCGGGTTGGAGAACGGGGTGTGGATGTTTCGGGTTGTGTACGAACATCCCGGAGACGAAGGCATTGTTGATGTTCACTTGGTCGAGGTATTTGATGAAGTATCCTGGAAATTGACAAGGTCAATTAGAATGATAAGTATGGTTGGATATGTCCTAGGAAGCCCACCGAGAGATGCAAAAGTCAATATCGCCGTGTCAAGCTTGAAGAGAAGTCGACGCTCCTCGGGCGACTTGTCGAAGGTATCCCAGATGTAACTGACCCATTTGCGCTTGGGTGCTTTTTGGACAATGGGTTCAGATGAGGAGACAGCGCTCTCGTCTACTACAGCTGGTGAGGGAGCCATTGCAGCTGTCGTCTTGGTCTGAGTATCCCTAGCCGCGAGCTTCAAAAGAAATAAGAGGTATGGACGCCTCTTGCATGATATGACACTTCATCCTTATGAGGTCATGGACTACTGCGAAGAGAACGTATGGCCGATTCTTCTTCGGTTGAACGTGACTGACCGTACAACCTCATCCAGCAGAGCTCTACCCCTCTCGCAACGATCTCGGAGCTGAGACAATACAACACTACGGAATCATCATTACTTACCCCACTTACGCCATTCGTGCATGAGAATGTCAGCCTGTAAGCGCTCAGGTATCTCGGAGATAAGAAATTCGTGCTTCCTGATGATCATGCGGGAGGTCTAAAGCGTGAGGGGAAAACATGGATCACTGGTTGTCATTGCATGGTGGGAGCTCGTCATCGACAATGCAGATGATGTGCCTTGGCCAACAGTTGGTCCCGGCGTAGACCCTACTTCGGCTGTATGCGCTAGGCTGTATGCTCTATTTCCCCCAATATCTCAGGTTCCAGCCTAATGACAGGAATCCACTGCTCGCCAACGCCACTATCTCGTTTCGCGCTCCCTCCGCCAATTAACCCCTTAAATCGTTCGCGCTGGATCGCCTTGGCTGCATGCCAGGTCTCCGTATGGCCGTCAATAACAGGTAATCCGCGCTTCTCTCTATACTTATTGATCCAGGCCATCAGATCGTCCACATATACCTCCTCGACATCCTTGAGCGAATGAAAGGTCTTGCCACTGCCTTTCGTTCTGATCTTCTCGGCATACTCCGCCCGCATGGCATCCTCTGACGGAACTTGAGCGATCCCCGCGAACACGTTCGCGACGACGATTGCCTGGAACTCGAACAGGGTGAAGGTTGCTGTATAGTAGGGGACGCCCACGAAAGCGAGAGTGGGATCCGGGATGTAGAAGATATCTTTGTGTAGGTTGTGCACCTGCGTTCCGTCGGTGACAAGAATCGTCTCATTCGCTTTCTCGGCTGCTGTCGCATCGTCGTGAAGTTCCGGCAGGAAGGGCAAAGTGATATGGTAGCCGGTGCATATGATCACATCATCGATCTCGCAGAGCTTTTGGCCGGATTTGAGATGGATGTTCAGCGGGAGCGCTTGGTCGTCGGAAACTGTTCCGTTCTTGTTGGTGATCTCGAAGCGCTCCACCTCGCCAACTCTGGCCGCGTTGTCAGGAAGGATGCTGGATGGCAGATCGAATATGCCATTCCGCGTGCTTTGGTAGACCCGCTTAGCGAACGGGCCGATCTCTTTGGCTACGTCGGTGGATGATACTCCGCCTCCGATAAGTAGAACGTTCTGGTGCAACGGTTACTTCTGTTCGTCTCAACTTTCAGGGACCGAAATTCATACCTTGTCCTTGTATGCGTCAGGCTTGCGATAGCCTTTTGAATGAATGATCCGGGTGGGCCATCTCATCTTCGTGTCCGAAAGCCCGGGAATATCCGGTACGCGGGGCGCATGGTAGTGACCGGAAGCCACGATGACCGCATCGAATGTCTAGTAAAATACATCAGCATCACAGTCTTCCACGCCCTTTCATAAGTCCTACAGCTGTCTCCTCGTGTTCTTCCAAGATCTTCGATTCTCCGTCTTCTCGCAGAGTCGACCAGGTGACATGCCATTTATGCCCGTCTTTTTTGACGCTGGTCACGCGCGCACCATAGATAGTGACTCCATCGGCTCCGGCCTTTCTAGATGTGTCCTGAATATACTCCTTCATGACTGTGTGACTGACGAACTCCGGCGTACCCTCTGGCCAGGCATTGAGCTTCACGCGCATCAACGTCGTTTCAACATTGTTCTTTAGACCGACATAGCAAGGCCTATCTCCGTCAACACCGACACAGCTACAGCACGAATGGCAACGCCTACCCAGGAGGAGCATGCTTCAGCGGCAGCGAGTCTTCATCGGGCTTTTCGCCCTCCCTGTGCCGCTCGGATGTGGATGGCTTCATAGCCGGGTAGTTCGGTTCGAGGGGTTTCCGCTCGTCGTAGAGCCTATGCTTCTGGTTAACACGACTCTGTGCTCACAAGAACGCTGGATACGACATACCACACACCACCAGCGGCATGATTCCGCTCAAAGACGGTGACATTGATGCCCGCAGCAAGTAAATGGCCGGCGGACGTGACGCCGCTGATGCCGGCTCCGATGACGGCGACGTGTTGGATCTGACGGGTCATGGTGCTGTCGAGAGCGAAAGGCCCAGGTTTGCGTAAATTTCACCACCCTCTCGAGCGATGGCCGTATACCAAGTCATTAAGAGTACGGTTCGTGGGCCCATATCGCTAACGCTATCTCAGGCGCATAAGGTGTAATAGTCCCACTCACTGGACCGAAGCGAAGGTCCAAATTATCCTGGGTCCGAATATCGCTCGAACGTCAGATCCCCGGTCCGCGATGGTAGAATTGACCAACCGGATCATGATACAGGATACATGACAAATGCAGTATGATGAGGCCATCGTATCCCTGCATGGTGATTCCTAAGCTAACTGCCGAGTGGAGACCTGTGCGTGTTGGAAGGTTCGGTTTGAAAAGATAAGGACCGACCCAAATGAGGGGAAGAGGACGAAAAAGAGGGGTTTCTGAGCAGAGATCACAAGGGTTCGAGTTCATAGGACGAGTGGGATGCAAAGGCGCAATGCCGTGGAACGATGATGTGATCCCACTCCGGCTATTGCACGGTGTTGCATCTGGGGAGGATGTCCGACTGAAAGACATAAATAATAGACATCAAAAGCAGTAGCTGTAGCTAAGACCCTAAGCTAGGTCCCAGGAAATAAGTGCTGAATCAATCAACATATTTCGTACCCATGGCTCCAGCACCGATTGACCCCCGGATTGTCGATGTGGCGGAACCGTTGAAGCAAACCCTCCCGCTCCCACCGGCAACCCAGGAACGCCTGGAGAAAGCAGGAATCGATCTCTCGGAGGGTTATCCTTATCGCCCATCGCGTCCGTTGTATCTGGACGATGTCTACAGCATCCGTGACTACGACCGCCCACATGTGGACCCGGGTAGTCGAGCGGACCCCGAGAAGAAAGCACTCCTGTCCGCCGCCAAGGAGGTGATCCACCTCACCAGGCACATCGGAACCGAGATAGTAGGCCCACAACTAAAGGACCTCACCGACCAGCAGAAAGACGAGTTGGGCCTTCTGATCGCGGAGCGCAGTGTGGTCTTTTTCCGGGATCAGGACATCTCGCCCCAACAACAGAAGGAGCTGGGCGAGTGGTTTGGCGAGATTGAGGTCCATGTAAGCAGCTGAGCATCCTATGGCTACAGAGTGGGCGGCTCATATCGTTTTGCGTGTTTAAGCCTCAAGTCCCGCAAGTGCCTGGCGTTCCTGGCGTGACAGTCATCTGGCCTGCTCTGCAAGCAACAGAGCGCCCGGCAAACTTCCGCAACCCCGGAGGTGCCTCCCGCTGGCATACAGATCTCGTCCACGAGCGTCAGCCCGCGGGAGTAACCCACCTACACAACGACACGATCCCCAGTATTGGAGGAGACACCCTGTGGGCCAGCGGCTACGCGGCGTACGAGAAGCTATCGCCCGCGTTTCGCAAGATCATTGACGGTCGAACTGCGATCTACCGGTCTGCACACCCTTATCTAGATCGCAAACACCCGGAGCAGGGCCCAAAGTATGTCGAACGCGAACACCCCTTGGTTCGTGTCCATCCTGCGACCGGCTGGAAGGCGCTCTGGGTGAATCGAGCAATGACCGACCGTATCGTGGGCCTTGATAAAGCCGAGAGCGATCTCATTCTGGGCTACTTGTGTGACGTGTTTGAGAAGAACATTGACATCCAAGTGAGGTTCAAGTGGAGCCCTAGGACGAGTGTTCTTTGGGACAATCGGTCAGTCGCCCTACAAATGGTATATCAAGACAAGACTAACAATTTGCAGAATTACCATCCATAACGCCAGCTGGGATTATGAGGGCACTGAGCTACGGCACGGCACTAGAGTCACGTCCTTGGCGGAGAAGCCGTTCTTTGACCCGAAGGCTCCGACCCGTAGAGAGAGTTTGGGCTTGCTGGACAATGCCGAGAAGGAAGAACTAGCCAAGGTGAACAATTGAGAAGGAGATGAGATTGAATATGGTAGCAGTGGATCGGTATGCCAGGTTGAATGAAAATATATCATTTCCGCTCCAGGATATAGAGCCAGTGGAAGACGTCCGGCGTATGAGCAAAGGACGAGGTCTCGCCTTTCGGGGCTCTCAGGGGAGTTCGAGAATTCAAGTGCCAGTATCGAGCCAAGTAAGGCAAATTATCATAGCGCATCGTCGAGTAGGATATCGTGGCCCAGATGGCGCCTTTCTGCGTCAACGGTGCCAGATGCAGAGCCAGTACCTCCACCGGCGACAATGTTATCTCTCCAGATTCCTCCACAATCTGCCGGATAGTCGGACATGTGTTCGATGCCTCGGAAGCAGAAGGGAATGTCAAGGGCGCCGCCGTCGCGATCGCATCGCTGGTGCTCTTGTCAAATACCACATCGAACGGACCGTACGGGATCGTCCTGGAGACGTCGTCCCAAGACCGTAGATCGACTTGCATCCAGTGCATCGCCTGCGACTGTTCCTTTGTGGCTTCTGTTTCACGACCGATGCGGACGGCCTCGAAGGAGAAATCGACGTTCTGTTGTGACAGCTTCGCGTAAGTTCATGGTTGTATACGTGCAGAGGCCGTTCATAACTAACCAGTATTTGGCTCCCGGGCCATCCTCGCTTTGTAAACTCAGCGCAGAGTTTTGATCCCAGCTTGGAGATACCGGGTCCGAGGTGCAAGGCACGAGGTGAGGGTGCTGGCTCATCGAGCGCGGGACGGCGGTCAAGATGCGACATGACCGCGTCGATGAGCGGTTCGCCAGGATTCAACCATTCGCCGACATCGCGACCACTAGAGAACTTATTATCCCAGAAGAGTGGATCATCGTAGTCTGGAGTACCTGTTTGCTTTGTATGTGTTCGGCCATTGCCTGCGGTCGCCATCCTCGGTGGGGCTGCGTGCATGGTAGGAAGAAAGAAGACCTTTCCATGCTCTTCCGCCGGTCGGTCGGATAATACTGCAGACACGTGATGGATACTTATCTTATCGTCAACCAGTGCGGGGACAAGCTCAGCTCATACAGTAAGTAAGTAACGTTACTAACTTACTACCTAGTAGTTTCCACAAATGCCACTCATTTCCAAACCAGCAGGTGTAAAGAGCCTTGCAATCTTCCCAGTATTCTGGGTACCAACCCGCCTGTTCCCAGTCCACAAGCACAAGCCGAGCAGGACTACGAGATACAACGATCATGTTGACCCGATTTAGATCACAATGTGTGAACTTGATGTCTCCGTCATCTGGCAGCAAACGTCGGTTGGGGTCGTCGTATCTGTGCTCAAACGGTAATTGGTGTAGAAGAGCAAACCAGTCATTGAATGCTTTGATGCTGGGGAAAGGGGCACTTTGTGGTTGACTAATGAAGACATAAGTCTAACAAATGTCCGCGGTCGATCGATCCTGGATAAATGTAAGCCATTGGATTTCGGCGATTCAAGTAGCACCTTCAGCCATACCTATGAACCTGTCCGATAGATCCTGAGCAAGATCGCGTAATTTCTCCATGGTCTGAGATAATTGATGTTTCATGTCGCCTTTCTCTTCCATGCTAAGCTGGTCCCAACACTCCCCCAGAGTAGGCCCCTTGATGAGCTCCATGTATATGAAAACGTACCCTTCGTCATCCACTCGCCAGCCGAAGACTTCAGGAACCGGTATTTCATCACCGAAAACGGTTTTGATCATTCAAAGATTCAGTGCTTCAGTGAATGTGGTATGGGGCCCAAGTTTAACAATCAGGCCGAGGTCCACGTATTTTATGGGGACGGGCTTGGAATCTAAATCGATGTCCTTGGACAATGCTCTCACCTCGGCTGTTGTAGGCAGGCGCCCTTCCGGGTTTGCAGTGAAGAAAGAGGCATCGCTGAAGTCCAACTCCTTCTGTGTGATATCCGGAAGCTCAATTGATATAGGCCGGTCGCCTAGAAGATATCGAACCATTGTGAAGGTAAAGAATATGTGATCGTCATCGATCAGTTCCTCTGCAAGTAGCCACAGCGTCCGATTAAAGCGGTCTAGTAAGCACACAGGAGAGTTCAAAAGTACGAGCTCAAAAGAATCTACAGAGAGAACGAGTTACAAGTGAGATCGACGCAGAAGATATGTTCCTAGGACAATCTAGTCATCTGTTACATTGCACCGTAAGAACCGTAAGTGACCCCGCACGTCAACACCCGGAGCAAGTTTAGTTCGCGCTGGCCGAATAACGCAGGCGGTGACCATCGGCTAGTGGCTAGGTTCTTGTAGCGTGGCCTAGATCGGGTTGGCGGCGAGCTCAGTACTGTGATTGCCCGGTTGCATTTCCTACTACATATAAGTATCTCATCACATGCAGAAAAAGCACAATAGAACCCCCTAAAAGTAGTGCTTCTTCGCTACTCAGCTTAAAAGCCCTCATCTTGTGAAGATTGTGAAAGAGATATCCGACAACACGGAGTTTCGAATGGCTGAGAAAGGAATGTGTAATCTGTCGACGACGGCACACTCACTTATTTGACACCTGACTAGTACAGTCAACTGTAACTATACCTAGTTACTGTCTTGGGCATCAATCGCTCTAAATCGACCTGAGCTGGAGAGCTTCTCGGTCATAACGGGCTAGTAACATTTGGTACTCTTTAGCTGCTAGGTTCTAGCCCACTCACTGCCTGTATACTGTAACAACATGGCTGATTGGTAAGTAAAGAGGCAGTGTAAACATGTAATGAGTGCTATGCCTCCGGCTTCTTCATCGAAGGCCTCTTTTAAGCCTGTCATCATCAATGTATGTCCGAAGAGGGCTTCGGTGCCACCTTTTTGTATTCCAAAGTTAAGATATTAAGGATTGTTGATCTTCTATCTTCAATCGTGCAAGTCTAGTGACATAAGATATGTGGGGATGCTTTTATTGCCTGGTCTGGAACTTGATCTCAAAACAGTATCACATAGTGCAGGCCAATTATGTCCTCATCTCACTATTTCACTAGTCCCATCTTAAAAAACAGTTTGGTTTGACGAACAGTTTCGTTTTAACACCCCATCGGACTTCTTTGCCTTCATCCCTGGCTTTGTACCTGATCCAATTTCGATGGAGTAACTCAGAATTCTAGTCCACAATTGCCTCTTGGTTTACTTCATCTCATATCAAACATGGCTAGACTCCTCTGAAGCACCTTAATCTTGCTCCTCCGCCGGACTAACGAGGCCTCTGGGCCTTCATCACAACCAACACGCGGCACACTTCAGGACCCGACCCCATTTGATTACTGCCTCTTCAGGCCATTCCTACCGATATTCCGCAACAGTTATATTACAGCACCAGCAGCCCTCTGCAGAAGCCCGGAGTCGAATCTCAGTACTTCCGGAGATCCTTTTGTCCAGGGCAAAACAGCGAAGATGCTAAGCCCCAGTGAAGTCCCAAATTTGCGCGATTTTATGATTGCAAGGGTGTGGGGCGACGAAGCGACGACTGGGTACAACAGGCATTGCACCAAGTGGGACTTCCTCCAGCCAATCTGAAGCTGTAGTGTTCCCCAGCTACTTTCCAGCCTAATGCAAGAATCTTTGTCACCTCAAAGCTTAGTCAAGGGGGAGTGTGACCATATTTTGAAGTGTGATGTGGCTACTGTAGAGGGATGTCCCGTGTATGCAAAGAAGGGGCCGAATATATTAGGTGCCGGTGCTTGTCTTCGGGAGGTCTCATAGGATGACTGGCACGCAATTTCGGGTGTAAATCCCTGGACAGAAGTGTAGCGCTACTACCTAGCTAAGGGTCTGCTCAGGGTTCAGACCAAATTAGTCTCAGCCAATCAATTCTGTTGTTTCTCAAGTGATTGCGACAAGAGGGCCTCGCTGTCAGAATTCTAGCCGATGATTGGCTTGGCAGAATAAGCCTTGTGGCGCCGTCTTGTAGTGGAGAGTAGTTCCGAGGCAATGCTGCGATGCGGTCTCAGCAATCGAGGTAGTGTATACCCACATGTCTCAGAAACCTCGCGCCGGCTGTAAGCTAGCTTTAGGCACCAGCAAACCTAAAGACTCGAAATCTAGCGAGTTCCGACTACAATATTGTGGAGCTTGTAAATTGAGACTCTGCTAGCGTTTCAGTTGTGGTAGACTCAGGTCCCTACATTCTGGTGAACGAATTGAAACCAGGAAAACAAGATCGTGAGCTTCTACCACTGCTGTCGGAGTTGTTACTATTGCCAGCCAGGCGCAATGAGAAGAACAAGATTGCGCGCGATCCTACCGCAGGAGATATGGAGCCTATGATTGTAGTCCCGCGCTGGAAGGGAGCTAACTGTGAGAGACGCCACACCAAAGCGAGCTATCAAGACGCTAGATAACTGTAGTTAAGACATATCTACGCCCTTTCCATACAAGCGACTATTCTAAACACCACTGTTGTCGGCCGAAGCCTTAAGTCACCAATATCGTACGGCCGAGCTCCAGGCCAAATTTAAGGGTATATAAAAGCTACCATTTCCTTTATCCGTGGCTCAATCATTCCTTGGTTCACATTCAAGCCCCCATCGAGGACAGGAAGAAAGATTCATGGATCTCGTCGCCTTCGTGTCTCGCCTCTCTATATCTGCAATCCTGATCTCCTCCCTCTGCTGGTACTATGCGGTTTCTCACGGCGTCGATCCTGACGTTAAACACATTCTATGGTGTCACGGTATCTCAACCCTCGTCCCTCTCTTCTGCTACCGATGGCCAGCTCATCAACGGCCAACCGCTGCCTGATTCGTGGTATCGTCTACATCTCGACGACAGCGAAACAGTATTCAACCTCACGTCTCGCGAGGCAATGGCCTCCGATGTGAGCAGCACCACGTCGTCGCTAGTAGCTCGAACCCCCATGACGGTCTGCGAGAAGATCTCCACGGTGGCGGCCTGCGCCACAATCGGCAGCTACGCATACGCCATCTCGTCTGCCATCGCGGGGCTCATCTGGGCCCAGAGCCACGAGAAAAGCTGCGCCACGAGCAGCGGCACCATTGACGGCTGGTCGTAAGAGTACTACGCGACGGGCCGCAACTGTGATACGACCGCCCAGCAGGAGACGATCCACGGCGCTCTCTACCATTACCTGGCCACGGTGGATAAGGATAATGTGTGCGGCACGCAGTGTCTGTCTCTGGACCATGGCGGCACCTATGAAGGCTACCTGAAACTGGGCAAGGCGGCGTATTTTGACTCCAGTGCGTACTGTGGTCCGCTGCTGTCTTTTGTCCACTGTGCCTCGGGTGGAGTCAATAGCTTCTAATAGGGGCGAGTTTCTTGCTATGGGCGGCGGTGAATTTCTTGGTATCGAGGACCGTAAGCGAAAGCGGTCGATGCCAGATCTCAGGGACAATCTGTTTTCGATGACTCCTTTCGGCAGATTTGTTGGGGAGGAGGGGGGGGGGATGCTTCATGTGTGGTGGTGTGGGCAATGGGTGCAACACATCTTGTGTATTGTGTCATTTAGAGACATTGAAGGAGACTGTCTCTTGTAGGAATAAGTCATCTAAGGTCTATGCGATATATGGAGAAGGCAATGGGCATGATCGATATTGATCAGGAATAAGTATTTATCCACAGCCTTAAGAGATTGTAACTATTCACTAAGTCACATTCTAAGCAATAGTTTTTTTCACCTTATGAAATCTTATTACGAACATCATCCTGGTTCAGGTATCCTCATTCAAGTCTAGTGCATAGATGGACTGTTACTTCCATTCTACTATCGCCTCACTATTTCCTTTATCCTTGTCTTTGACATTCTTCGGACTCTTCTAACGTACTTTCAATTGCTAGATCTTCCATTGCCTCCCGATAGCCCCGCCAAAAGAAGCAAGCCTTTCAAGATTTCAACCACCATACTCAGCATGGATATTCGTTCTTTTCTTATCTCCTGATAAGGAAAGACAACCGATGCTCCAGCGTCCGTATGCTCTGGGCCTCCGTCACAACCAAGACATGGCAATTCAGAGCCCTGGGATTTAGCGATCACTCCCTCTTCAACCCGATCCGACCGACATTCCGCAACCCCCACAATCCAACACCACAAGCCCCCAGCATAAGCCCAAAGCACGTCCAGAAGACGGCGCGGTAGCCAATCATGAGTGCCTCGGGGGACTGCTTGTCTGCGATCGAGGAATCCCGGGTGACGCCCGCGGAGATGATGGCGAAGATGGTGAGTCCCAGAGAGGTTCCGAACTCCGCGATCGTGTTGAAGACGGCACCCGCCAGGCCGCGCGTCTGGGGGGTAAAAGCGTCCGCGACTATCAGGTTGGCGATGGTGAAGATCACTTTGTAGATGTACCAAGGGGCCGGGGTCAGAAACTTGGTCTCATATTTGGGTTTAAATTTGTGGGAGTAGAGAGGCAAGGAGCGACTTTGGTGGCTTACCATCGGCTGAAAGGGGGCTGAGCAGAACCGCCCAGAAAGCACAATACCACCAAGACCATTGAGGGTCAATGATAGCCATGAGCAAGGGAGACCCGGCGCTGAGCAGCGAGCTTACAAGCACCAGGTGATTCGCATGCACACGATGAACCAAGAGACCTGTTCCCAAGTTTAAGAGAACGCCAATGACGACATTTGGCAAGAAGCGGAGAGCGGACTGAAAGCCCGATAGCTCTTGAACTTCTTGGAAGCTGCGGGAAGGTATTTAGAGATGATTGTTCCCGTTGTGCAGGCGGGGCTGTCGTCGTCCGGGACCAACTTACAAGAGACTGAGAATGGTTTCCACGCCGCTCAGCACCGCCCAGGAAAAAAGGACAATGACACACATGGACGAGAATGCCGTATTCTTCCACAGAGAGTTTGGGATCAAAGCGGGCTTTCCCGCCCGTTCGCGCCTGCCCATCCAGACCCAAAAGCCAGGGATCATGGCGCCCGCGCAGCAAAGCAGGGCGATATTCTGAGCCTTGTGGACATTCGATGGATCGTCAGAGATAGTACTGTGACTATTGTTAGCAGGCTCCGCCCACCGCCAAGCGTGCTAGATGTGTGTAGAACATACGCGAACACGTAGGAGATAATTCCTAGGCAAGAGCTTGAAAGGATTATGCCAATCCAGTCGATCTCTGCTCGGAGCCTGCGCAAGGTGATGGGTTCGCGGGCGACATCCTGTGGAAGCTTGAAGTAATTGATAACCATGAGAGTCC